TTTTTGAGCTGGCAACGCTAGTCAAAACTTAAACAGTCCCGGGCAATGCAACAATTACTTTTTAAATTTTGGACTCTCATGAATCCTCTAAATCCGTTGTTTGATTTTTGTCTGCTATTTTTACTTCGTTTTATTCTTAACATAAAGATTTGTCTTATTTGATTTGAAAATTTAGTTGCGATGACTGGAAACCGGTTTAACCGGTTTTGGTGTGAGAGAGGGCGCTGTGGAGAGCTACAGCCGCATAGGAACGGAATTGAAACTAACGTCACCAACGTGTTCAGGCCATTTGGGGCGAGCAAGTCGAATAGTAAGTGTCTTTTCCGACGTGCCGGGTCCTTCTGGATCGCCACAGCCTGTCTTGGCACCGGTCTATACTATAAGTATGTATACAGTAACCTAATCTACGCTAGTTGAGCAGCCTATAGCGCACCGAGTCGCGTGAAATGATCAAAATCCAACATAATAATCACACATAAATTGGCAAGAAAGCGATAAGGCAGTTTGTCGTCGTCGTCGTCATCGTCGTCGTCGTGATGCTCACGGGGATTTCGGTGCGGGTAGTTCTGCGTCCCTCGGGCCCGAGTTCTCTAAGGCATCGCCCGGTTGAAAGAATCGGTCCGTATCGCACATAAGATTTGCACTGTTGCAGCACTGTCCATGATCGGAGCTGGCCGTGCCATCGTCCATCAGGATGATTGCGTTTGATTCCTGGTTCGTCTGGTGGGCAATCATGTTGAAATCCTCTTGGTCAAGCGTGAACAAGGGGGCGCTCCAACGCGGGATGCTGCTAGAACGCGTACCTCTGGACGTACTCACGCTGGCCGAGTACATGCTGAGATTCGTAGGGCTGATAACTCCAGACATCCCGCTCATACTGGGGTAGCTGAAGAGCTGCAACAAACACCAAAGTCAGGACAAGGTCCTGGGGGCGACTCTAACACACTACCAACATGTCCCGGCTGCCCGTGAAAGTGGTTGAACGAGTAATCCCGAGTCGGCGAGTATGGACTACTAGTCGGCACGGAGTTCCTCTGCGATGGACTTTTGCGACGCTCGTGACTCCCGGGACTTAGAGGGGGCGACGACGATATCTCAGGGACGTCATCAGCGGGAGACGCCTCGCTGCATGGAGGGGTTATACTCGCAGGGGGCGAATTCGTACCACTCAACGTCACGTCCCCAGTTGAACGGATTATGGCCACAGGACGGGCCATCGGCGGCAGAGGCGGCGGCGGCAACATCGTCGACGGGAAATACTGCGTTTTCGGACTTCGAGACATGTTCGTTTGCATCTACACCCAAGGCACAATCAGTTACCCAACATCACACCAAAAACCGACAAACATTTACAGAAAAACACTAATCTTCAAATATAAGCGCCCCAGAAAAAAAATTCAAGTAAGATGGACGAAATTCTGTCAAAAAATTTTGACATTTGACATTTTTTTATGTCTGGTAATCTTCTATATACTCTTTTTCATATTAATGCGCATCAAGTAGGTTGTAGAAGTGTCATTAATGTCATTAAGAACAAAAATAATCACATCAATAATGTCAAAAATCGTTATGTTTGCCACTTGTTTGCCACTACCTCAAAAACTGGGGTACACATTTGTATTTGAGAAAATAATTTTTAGGGGAGTTTAAGGTTGGGATTGTTTAAATTTTTGCATGGTTGCCACCTTAAAATGATCCCTTTTAACGCCTACTTCGATGCACATTAACATGAAAACACAACTCTACATAAAAAAAATTGTCTTTGTCTTAAAATTTATTTTGTGATTTTTCCATTCACCATGCTTTAAAATAAAGAAAAAAATACCCATATTCCTTAAAAAGTTTGCTTTTGTGGTAGTTATGATAATAAACCCTATTTCTTGAGTTATCACTTATCATATTTAAAGAAGCAGAAGACTACAGGGTGGATACACAAAATATCCGTGTTATCTCTGTTTGTGGGATAGTAGAGCGGATGCTCAACACTATATTCAACGATTATGGCCACTAAGAACTAAATTTTGTATTGGGAAACTAAACGTTAAATGTGAACCAATTGCTGAACCTGAAAATGTGTTAATACTGCCTTTACACATCAAGTTAGGCCTTATGAAACAATTCGTAAAAAACTAGATGAAAGATCTGAAGCTTCTACATTTTTAAAAAACTTTTTTCCAAAGTTGTCAGAAGCAAAGGTTAAAGCTGGAATTTTTGTTGATCCACAAATAAAAAAAAACTTTTTGCCAGTGAAGAATTTCGAAAATTACTTACCAGTGCTCAACAAAAAAGTTGGAACAGTTTTAAAGGAGTAGTTTTTGGATTTTTAGGGAATAACAAAGTTGAAGCTAGTTGATAACATGTTAGAAGACTTTAAAACTATGGTCTGCAGAATGTCTCTAAAAGTACAAATGCTCATTTAGATAAATTTGAAAACAACATGGGGGCGTATTCAGAAGAACAAGAAGAACATTTCCATTTAGACATCATGGTCTTCGAACACCGTTATCAAGGCCAATACAACGAAAATATGAGGGACTACATTTGGAGTTTAGTGAGACAAAATACTTATAAACATGAAAGAAAATGATATTGAGTTCACTTTTAAACGTATTTCTACTATTTTGTATTTTTTTGTAATATGATATCAAAAGCTGATAAAAATTTATACATAAATATATTTGTTTCGATTTTTTTACAAATAAAAATATAAACTTTGAATTTTCTAAAATATTGATCAACCGTTCTCCTGGATTCAAAAGCAAACTTTTTACCATAGTTAAAATTCGTGTTGACCTGTGTTACATATAAACAAAAATTTTGCCAATAAAAGCCACAAATAACATTAATCAGAGTTACACTTTAGGATTCAGCTTTCTTGTTTCCACTTCTAATAGCCTTCAAACTTCAAAATTTTTATAGATTGAGTTTTTTGAACATTTTTTCCGTGTTCCTGGTTTTGTCTGGAGTGCGAGTTCTGGCATCTGTATAATATCTTCAAAACCATAGAAAATATATCTTTTTTGTGGAGTACGATCACAAAAAGGCTTTTTCTTGACTAATTAAGGCAAGAAATAGTGTCCTTTTAATCGTTTCACTATTCCTGCAAACTGCCGAACTTTTTTTTTTGAACATAACACGTAAAGTCTCTATTCTATAAGAATAAATGTGTTTTTCTGTAAAGAGAGAGTAAACTAGCATTGCCCTTACTTGTGCGTTTTGGTTGCTGCTGTCCGTCTCTTGGCACACGAATGTGACAAAATCGGAGAGGGTGTCGTGGCCATTTTCCGGATATTTGACCTGGTTCTGGTGCTGGTGTTGGTGTGGTTCCGGACTGTGCTGATAGAATATTGTACTTGGGTTAGGTTGAGAACTGGAAGACACTAGAGTGGTGTTTTGAGGTATAGCTGTGAAAAAGATGGTGAGTTTTGGGGGTGTTTTGGTGGGAAAAGGGCTTACAGTAGGCCGCTGAGACGACCATGGCGTCGACTGAAGACGTCCGGTCACTGACAACAGGCCCCTGCTCTGAATAATTGTTGCAATAATAGGCTGGGTGTTCTAATTTGACACTGTTCATCGTTGGTTGCGGATCGGAAAGTTCGTGCAAGATTGAAGCTAAAAATAGGCAAAATTAGTGAGAAATTTGACGGTACATTGAAGAGAATTTACATTTGGACAACTTCCATAATTCCTTTGATGAAAATACTCCTGTAGCTAATATAATGTCATTACATATTACACCGTTGTACGGATTGTGGGTGTAACCTGTAACTGGAAATAATTTCATTTAAATTTTCATGAAATTGTTACCAATTACCCTTACACACATTGACAACGATTTTCTTTCATACTCACCTTTGTTTTTCCTGTCGTCTTCTTTCTTGTTGTTGTTATTGTAACAGACACCGCTTAATATTTCTGAAAGGAAATAGGCCAAAGTCAAATTTGACATTACGAAAAAGTTCCAAATATATATCATCAGTCTCATCCAATAAAATGACTTCTTATTTTAGCTTGCCGTACCTTTTTTACGCGTATATAATTAGAAAGTATCTACACGTGAAATTTATGAGTAACATTTTGTCTCATAAAACATGTGATCTATTTTTATTAATAAATTTTACGAGGACCTACATGGTTACAAGTTTTCGAAATGCATACTTGCACCAGCTTCCTGTACTTATTATAAATAGAGTTTGATTCAAGTTTGAGAAAAATCAATATTAGCGTCGTCGTGTTTATGAAGTTAAATGAGATATAAGCGCACAAAGTGTTCTACGCCACTGATTTAAACGTCTGGGCGCGGATCCAAAAATTGTACATCGAACAACACAACAGTCGGGCAATTCGGATGTTTTTTGTATAAACTGGTGAAAATAAATTTGCAATTATTTGCGATTAATTAAAGACTGCAAATAAAGTGTTGTAATTTTTTCCTTGACACAAGTTACGCTATCGAGGTCCTCTAGATAAAAAAACAAGCCGATTTTGGCTCATTTCCAATATCGACATCCTCATGGTTGTTCATCAGATTATAAGATGGTGCGGCAAAGCTGAACATAAATCGATTTTGGGATTTATCGAAAATGTGAAGCGTAAAGCGGCGATAAATTCGAAAAATACTTGTCCGAAAATCGTCTGGAGTCTGCAGGATTGATCCGGGAAGCAGGAGGCGGGGCTCCGGTTCGATTCGAACGATGCAGTGAATGAATAGTAAACAAGACTACGAGTGGCAATAAAAGCGGAGTGTTTATTTATTTACCGTGGCTGTTGATGAAGTTGGCTAGATAAAGATCCAGTTCTCGCACTGACACATTAATATGATATGGATTTACACAAAGTCCAGGTTGAGAACAGTCCGGATTTTTCTCGAGCCTTTCGCCATCCGTACTTTCGAGAGGTATTGCTTTAAAAAGTATCACCATAACGAGATCCAAGCGCCAAACTTTATCTGCTTGGCGAAGACAGTCTATTCGGCGCATTTTGCCTTTTTGATCGGGATTCGAGAGCACGCAGACTGCGGGACGCTTCCCGGTGATGCTCAGCACGAAATCCTCGCGACATTCCTGCGTAATGTCCTTCCGGAGTTTCCCCAACAATCGGGAGGCCCATTTCTGCTTGACTTCGGCTTTTTCATTCTAGAACAACAACAACAACAACAAATAATGACATCAGCTCCGCCCTGAAGCCCGGCCGCGGCCGCGGCCGCGGCCGCGGACGCAGCCTAGTTTCACGAATTCCTATTTCGAACCGTCTCCGAATGATAAACATGGAAATTCAAATTAGTCAATTCGCAGAATATCAAATATCGGGAAAAAATTCCGTAAACGTGATTGGATTTGCGCGTGGAATGGTTATTTCGAAACTTTACCAGGCAACAAAAGATGATTTAAAATAGTGAGTAAACAAATCAGACCACCTATTTGCCAAAAATAGACACTGACTTTGCGAAAAATTGTTTCAAGAAACAAAATCAATGTCAATCTAGAAATGTTTCGTTTATTTTAATGTCAAAGCGGCCACTAAGCCACTTATATAATAGGTAGCAGAAGTAAAAATAAATATAGCAACTGTAAAACAGTTAAAATACGACAAGTGTCATCGAAGCAACCGACGATTTTTTGGTGGCAAATTAAAACGTGAATTTAGTATTATGTATTTAATAGCATTTGGCAACTAGCTACTGTACATGTTTTTGTGTTTTTTTGGGGGGGTAATAAGTATTTTGATACCTGTAAAGCTTCTTTACACTGTCTCTCCTCCTCCAAAGACATCCGTTTCTCGTGTTTTTTGTAGTACTTCCTTTTGGCGGCTTGGAGATTAAACCACGTGTATGAGAAGGACTTGACAAAAGGCAGGAGTGCCTCGATGAATGGGTGGAACTCGTCCTGGTAATACGGACACATCAATTTACTTCCTCTTTATTTGATTCGAAATATTTTGACATTGTTATTAAAAGCCAAAAACTTGACAAACATTAGTAACGGATTGACACGAAAACAGTGACATTTCTTCAAATACTAGTAAACAAGTAGATAGTCTCTCCGTTTGGAAAAAGCTGTTTTTATTATTTTTCTAGGGTGAGTTCTTATCGATTGTATTCCCTCGAAGCATTCAGAGCAAATCAATTTAATTTATTGGCTGCAGTGAGTCTGCACTCTGCAGCAGTCTTATTCGTCGTACTGTAGTAATGTTTTCAAAACGGAGAGACAAAATTTCTTCTCTACTGAGTCTAATCGATACGGTTTGCATGATATTACAGATACAGAGTATTGCAATTATGAAGAATAGAGAAAAGGATGCAGTGGTCAAAATGTTGTGTTTGGTGTGAACGTCGGGGCCATCGCCGGTCACGTACAAACTTTGCATGCATAAAACAACAACTGCATTGCACAAACAACAAACGAATGAGAATGTGTCGCGAAACGCGAAATGCGAAATGCGAAATGCGAAATGCGGCGACGTAGTGCATTTAAATTTGCGACTTGATCGTCGGAGAGAAGAGAAAAAACAAAAAACAAAAGCAAGCGGACGACGACGCCGACTATAACTCAAACACTGTCATTCCCAGCCCTCCCTATCGTCTCTTCATCCCCAGAATTCTCCACTAAAGCGCTCAATTATTTCATACTCCACATAAGACTACGATTCAAATTGTCTTGGCAGCCTGCCGCAGGATATGCACATTGCAGGAACCTCCAGACAACTCAATTGCCGCCTCACTTACATGTCCTACCTGCATTCATTTGCACAAATTACGCAATCTAGGGTGCCAGTTTTTGAGCAGGATTTTGTAGATTTTGGCAGGCACAACAAACATGTTGTAGTGTTTTGTTTTTGTTTTTTGAATTACGTTGGTTTTGGTGAGATAGAAGCGGAGCAGATGGTGGTGGAGTAGTGTGTAGGGTATAGACGAGGCGTTCGTCGTGGTCTTTGAATTCCGCCTATTTATACTTATGTATTTTTAGCCGCTAGCGCGGAGTAGCGGTGAATAGTGGATTAACAAAATGAAAAGAGCAATGGAGGATATGACGAGCGTCCGAGCAACAGAGCAGCATAATAAACCAGCCACAAGACAACAGAATAACAGGTACGACGGTGCAGAGATGATAATAAATAAGTAACATAACGAAAACGAACGTAACGTAACAACCAAACATGTCAACATCGAGGGCCTCAGCCAGGTCGGGGGCGGGGGTTCCCTGGGATGATGTCCATGGTCCCGGTCCCGGTCCCGACCAAGCCGGAGTTCCAGAACAGAATATAACACTCATGTTAATCATGTTAATTACATATCACGCATGACGGCGCGAGGGGAGTAAGGAGGGTAGCAGCGGGTAGGCACCTGTCCCGAGGACGGCGTCTGGAGATACGAGGACACATCGGGCTCCACCATGCAGCTGCGCAACGTGTCGGGGATGAACATTCCTTAGGTCACGTCACCGTCACCGGCGGGCGGCGTGCACCGTGCCGAGTCCCATCACCAGAAGAGAACTAGTGTAGTGTAGTGCTTTTGCTACCACCACCAGCAAGCAGCCTCCTCCTCATTGATTGCCTTATGCGCACTGCGGACACTGGCGGACACCATCCGCATCCGCAGCTTCTTCTCTTATTCTTATTCTTATTCTTGTCGATAATTCCAATTCACTCATCACTAGTCCCACACATGCCACCTCGAGCTCCGCCGCGAACGTCTACATCAGCCACGTACCCCAACACCTAGCAAATGTCCGCGCTTGCAGGACCCCGCGCTCGCCTCTCGCGCTCTATTAATAAAAGACGCGGGACGTCGCCAGCGCCGTATATATATTTATATATTGCTACGACGCCGATGACGTCGACTTGCGTCCGGGCGCTGCCGTTTCATCCTTTTCCTCATCTGCTTTCTGCTTCGCACTACTACTCGAAGAGGCTGGCACTGTGGCACTCGCGATCGACTGGTGCTGCCATCGACGGAACGCGGCGACGCAGACTAGTAACGATCCATACGATGCCATCATGCAAATGCGAATGCGAAATGCACCACCGCAGATTTACGACATTTGGCACCGAGCCCCGAGTCCCGAGTCTCGACTCCCAAGCCCTTATTGCCGCTGATGCTTACAACACCAATTAGCCGATGCAGACCAAAACTTAAATCAATCCCTTTATTATTATCTGCAACCCCAACCACCGAGACACACTAACCCACAAACACACTTTTTAAACACCCCTCGCTACGCACACGTTCAACAACCTCATTTCTATCAGGGGAACTACACAAAATGTCAACTCCAACAAACCCCGAAAGGATTTGCTGCCTTTTGTAGGTCCCAATAGGGAATCTCCGAAACTAAGAGATTTAGCCAAAACTAGTGATACATTCTGGGTTCATTTTTTGAAAAAATAAGATTGGTTAAAACCCCATCTCGCTATCGTCTTTTGTTTTCGACGTACAGACAAAAGTTGACATTTTGGCGAAATCTAAAAAAAAATATATCTTTGTTGTCATTGGTAATGCTTATATCTATGCGTTGCATAGTGCATGATCCCCTAAAAGATCGTCTGAAAGTAGCGTTTCCTTGGAAATTAAATAAAAAAAAATTACAAATTACCGTCACTAATAAACTGTTGTATAGAAAACACATAATTTCCAATAACTTATTAACATTTATTTTTCAAAAAATATCAATAATAAATACAAATTCTTCGGTTGAGGAAGAGTACTCTATATTTTTTTAATTCTATTTTCTGATATTAAAATAAAAGTACATATGTAGATTTCGAGTACCTTTTATGAGTTTCGCTCGACTAAAATGATCATTTAAAAAATCGCAGTCTTTCAACTTGTCGATTAGATTATACAGGGTGTGTCAAAAGTCCAGGACCAACGTAACATGCCATGTAAGGTAAGATACCAAGAGCATGGAAAAAATGTAAAAAAAATCTATCACTAAAAATTTTCAAGTTATGAGAGTTTAAATTTTGCACTTTGACTCTGTTTATTTCCAAGTTTTTTTGCTACAGGCTATTAGAAGAGGAAGCAATGAAGCTGTATCCTAAATTGCAACTCTGTCTAATGTTATTTGTGGTTTTTATTGGGAAAATTATCGTACTTTTATTAAATACTTATTAAAAAAAAAACATACAAGATCATCAATATCATTAAATACCAGGTGAATAAAAAGTATGGAACCAAACGTTTTTTGCTTAAACTATTTATTTTTTGAAAAAACTAATTGATGAGTGATAAACTACTATAAAAATGTGATGATTTAAAAAGAATAAAATTTTTCGAAATTTCCTTTTGTTTTTGAGTTATACAAAAAAAAATATTTTTTTAAATGGCAACCCACTATAAAATCATTTTTCTCATAAAAGCTATACTCTAAGAATTACAACTAACTGCTTTATATTTCATTTTTTCAAAAAAAATTTTTCACATAAATTGCAATTTTGACAAAAAAAAATCGCAAAACTCAAAAACAAAACAAAATTTCGTTCTGAAATACGATCACATTTTTTATATTACTTTAATTTATATTAATTATTATTTTCTGGAGGCAAATGATTAAAAATAAAACCGCTTGGTTCCATACTTTATATTCACCCTGTAGACATAAAAAATGTCAATTTTCAAAAAATAAATGGAAACATTTTTTGACAGATTTTTTTATCATTTGTTTCATGTTCCTAGTATCTTACGTTGGTCCAGGAATTTTGACACACCCTGTATATATTTGTGAAATATTTACTCAACCGAAGAATTTGTTTTTTATATTGATATTTTTTGAAAAATAAATGTTAATAAATTATTGGAAATTATGTGTTTTCTTTAGAACAGTTTATTAGTGACGGTAATTGGTAATTTTTCTATTTAATTTCCAAGGAAACGCTACTTTCAGGATCATGCACTATGCAGCGCTCTCAAAAAAAATTTTTTTCACCCATTTTTAAAACGTCCGGCTTGAAACTTATGTGAAGACATAAAAAAATGTGAGAGTTTTTACATAAATTTTTTAAGAATTTTAAAAACCTGCGTAATTGTTTATTTTTTTGTTTAAACAAGATATTTTTAAATTATTTGTTAATCACAAATTTTTAGAATACATGTATTATTACGTCCGTAATGTAACTACTTATATCTATTATTTAAAAAAAACTTCGTTTCAATATGTTGATTTGTTCTTTAGATAAAAATTCTTTTTGCTCCGAGGGTTTAAATTTTGTACATCCCTGTTTTTTCAACATACATTGAAGAAATAAAAAACGGTGAAATACGTGTCACTTATTTTTACACGTTCTATAACATATCTCAAATTTACGAAAATCAGAAACAATGAGTTTTAAAAGTGATCGTTTTGGCATGGAATTACTCTTTTTTGAACCGTGAAATGGGATAAAATTAAATGGATAAAATAAAAATTAAAAAAATACGAGACGTTAGAAGTATCGAACAAATATGCGAGCGCCTCAGAACAAAATTATTACATATTTACAGAAAATTCAAAAACAGGAAAAACAAATGTGTCAACAGTCAACACAATAAGAAAAAAAAATTTGATGGTCTAATAGGAGTAGGATAAAGTTTAAGGTAGACGGAATTTGGATCTTTGAATAGTCATATCGTCATTTTTGTGTCATATAAAATATATTTCATTTAAGAATTAAAGCGGTTTTTTTACAACACTCTATGTGTCATTTTTTCATGGCCAACTGCGAACAAAAATCAAAGATAATTTTTTGCTAAAAATGTATTATAATAATCTGTTACAAATATATATTTTTAGAAAGTAAAAAGCAAGCTTTTTAAAAATGACATAGCCATTTATGATTCCCGGCTAAACAAATAACTGAAAAAAATAGTTAACTACATTATTAAATTCTTCGTAAAAAAAGTGCCTGTATAATGTCTTTATTTCAAATCCATATCTTCTATAATAACGAAAATACGAATTTTTCTAGATTTCGCCAAAATGTCAACTTTTGTCTGTAAGTCGAAAACAAAAGACTATAGAGGAGTGCTTATTTAGTAGGAAGAAAAGTTAATTTTTTTCTTGATTTTGGACTTATAATAATTTTTTTTCTGCAGTTTACAAATTTATCACATTGACGGTTTTATTTTTTTGACAATGATGTCACTTTGGCAAATGAGTTTATGCAAGTAAAGTTAAGTTTTTCACAAAAACATAATTTTAATAAATAGCATTTCAAAGAAACAGCTTTAAGATAAAAAACAAATTTATTTTTAACAAGAACTATCATTATTTAATTAATAAATTAATTGTCAAAGTGACATATAGTTGTCAAATAAATAAAACCGCCAATGAAAAATTAACTTTTCTTTTCACTAAATCAGAATAATGAAGTTTAGGTACAGATTTGCTTGTTTTAGGTGAAGCAAAAAATGTTTTTCCTTTGCAGTTTTGGCGTAAAATTAAAGATATTTTTTTTTCCTTTTGTATATTCAATCCGGGGACATACTGTATTTAAAAGGCAAAGTTTTTGAAAAGTAACATTTTTAAAGACTTTCTTTTGTTTTTAAAGCATATTAAAAATGTTAAAACTTGAACTTTCTTCTTCAAAAATCGTTAAATATGCAATTTTTAATTATTATGAAATCGTATTTGGGGATTTAAAAGAGAAAGGTTCGATTTTTCTTTTAGTGGATTCGTAATTGAAAAAATTTAACGTTACGTTTGGGGAAAAAATACCAAAAATTTACCTCACTAAATGGAATAGAATTTAATTCTGCTTAGATCTCTGTAGCTATGTTTAATGGTTTTGAAATTATTGTAATTTTTTGATTTTGCCCAACTCTAGTTTTTGATGATGATGTGTAAGTCGCTCATAAAAAAATTAAGTGAGCGAGGAAATACACAACTCTTTTAATGCAAGTAGTGTCAGCATCGTCAGCCTTTTCCTTGGACTTTAAAGCTTCATTATTCATTAGTCTGAAGTGCTAGTTTTAAACATGAAATCGATTTTTATGCACTCGTACAATATATCATCACACATGATGAGCATGGGCGTAGCTCGTCTCAAAATTAAAGGATTTTAAAGACTTTTTTTATCAAAATTACCTCGCATGTGTATCGATGTATTGTCATACAAAATTATGATATATTAAATGTGAGACAAACAAAAGAGATAAATAGTTTTAATAAAAATACTGCTAGTAATGCTTCTAACACCCAATACATTTTAAGGTTTTTCTTTTGTTTTAAGGTTGTTTTTAAAACTTTCTCCTGTTAAAAAAGTTAAAGCTCATAAAGCTATGCTGAATTTCAAAGCCTTTCAACCTGTTTTTAAGTTTGTACAAATTATTCAACACAACTGTTAAAATATTGATAATACTGCACTGTTTTTGAAGGTTTGAAGGTAGAACGCGTGCTATATAAACTCATGTGGTTTTGATTTTGATGTAAAAATTGTATTTATATATGAATTAGAATTATATACGATTTTGTCCTGTTTTTAACGGTACATATTCAAAAAGCAAATATTTTTATTTATTTAATGATTTTAAAAGTAACATTTTTGAAGATTTTCTCCCAATTTTAAAGCATATTAAAAAAGTTAAAATATTCGCCTTTAGCTCATGCTCTTTTTACAATATTAAAAAAAGAGCAACCAATAAAACCTGATTAGATAAAAAAATTTGCCGTATGGCAGAATTGAAAAAAAAATATTTTTTTTTGTTCAATGACCTAAGTGAAAGGGCATTTTTCAGTAGTATGATTGACGAAAAATAAACAAATTTTAGATAGATCTTTAAATCATTAATTTGCGTAAGAGGATTTTTTTTTCGCAGTTTTATCAAGTTTTTTCACACGATTAGTATTGCAGTTTATTAAATAACATATTTACTCTTATGGGAAGATAATTCTCTTGCTTTTACTAAGATCAAGTTGCTTATATTGCAGTGGGATAAGTGATAACAGCAGTGAAATGCATTTTTTCTTTTTGTAGAATTTAGTTTCTCCTCCGATGTAGGCAACCTTCAAGTCTCGTTTTGTTTAGTCGTAGTTTCAAAAGATGGCGCTTTTAAGCAGATTTACGAGAAAACATTTTTCGACGAGCGACGAAGGAGCGAGTGCTTTATTTGTCCAAATGCACCGAATGAATAGATATAGAGGATTAAGGTTTAGAATAAAATTCAGTGTTACAAAGTTAAACAAAATTTATTGCATATTTTACATTAAGCAAAGCTGAAATAATCGAACATATAAACTACAAGTAGTTGAATAGTTATTAAATAAATAGTGCCCAATATTATAAATGTACAAGGACAAATTTATCAACTAATATACAACTATAACGACTTATGACAACTTAAAACTAAAACCCATAAGCAAACGAATTCCACAAATTGAACACAGGTAAGTTAATCTTATAAGAGGTGGGTTTTTACACTAAATATTAGATAACAAAATGTGGAAAATAATGTACATAAAAACATTCTTTGTTTTAAATAACTTGAAATGGTTATGGTTAAGTGGTTATTAAGAAGAAATATAGTTATCACAATTTATTAGTTGGGCTAACCTGCTGCAACGTAACACCTTCGAGCTTACCTTTTTGTATATCACCAATTGTGAGGTAATAAATTATTGGACTGAAGTAGTTTTTTGATTAAAAGTTTATTCGTAACGAACCGAAAAAATCCATTAAACACAGCAATATATATATAGGTAGGTATATAATACAAAAATGCCATATTCAAGCACAGTTGTTTAAAAAAGTAAAATCGAAACAAAATAATCTTATCACACTCAAATCTAAACGAACAGAAGTTCTAAATGAACAATAATATGTTATAGGATATGTGTATATTAACATTATATACTAGTCATTGAAAAATAATCAATCCAACTGAAAACTCTTCAACATACTAGAGAAATGGTAACATTAATACCCAAATTTCCGTTGTCAGCAAAGTGTTGGGCAATAGAATTATCAAATGCTAAGCAATCGGAAGCCATAATGGCTGAAGCGACACCCTCATGGCTGGACCTCGGCATGGCTTCCCAAATAAGGCGACGTCTATTTCCGTTAAGCTCCAGTCTAAATCAAAAAACATTATGAATAGTATAGAAGAAATCCCAAAGACTGACCTATATGCGAAATGTTCAGCCTGTTTGCGCGAGCCAATCAATTGAACGATAGCAAAAAATTGGGTATGGCCATCATTCTTCTCTTGTTTTTCCAACACTAGCATAAAATGATGGCCGAAACAACTCTGCATCATCACCCAATCGACAGCCCCGGCCAAGTTGATCTCAGTGGCCAGGAAAACGATGTCTTCGCCGTTGAGCGTTGTTATATTTTTATGGGAATGTTGCAGATGTACCATTACTTTATCTAACTGGCCCTATATCCCAAACATTTTTTTTACTACGCAGCAAACTGACGCTAAAGTTGAACAATACTAAGTAGTAGTGTTCAACCTTAAGACATTAATGCGTTAATACCTACCTGCCAGGAGCAAGAGGCCCCAGGACATGGGCAACTATAAGGACGAAATTCGCAGATCTCCTCGTGTTCGGCCTTTTCGTTGAGTCCCAGAGACATGCGGCACCCGGTCGACTTATGCTTGCAGGGGAACATGAGGTTGTTGGCGACCTTCTCCATCGCTAGGTTTCGGATATTTCCAAGGGTTCCGCGGCAAGTCGGACAACAAGACAATTTCGGACGACAATTTGCACAAACGAGATGTCCGACTTGACACTGCATAATAGGAGGTAGGACAATCTCGAAGCAGACCGGGCATTCAAAAAGCGCCGCTAACTCATCGGTGAGGGTACCGGGAGTTGCCCCACCGGGAAGTGTTGGTATCTGGCAGGTCGAACTTGAAGCTGAAGTTTCTCCACTGCTGATTCCTCTACGTTTGTGACCAATCACTTGAGCCATTATTTCGTAAGGAATTTGATTTTCTGTGAAACAAAAAACTATTTACTCAAAAATACTTTCGAAAATTTACTCTACCTGGAGCTACAACCATTGTGGGCACACAAGTGTAATGAAGCTCGTTACCACAATACCAATAATTGCTATAATCATAGCCGAGAAAGACGTAGTCGGACATTTTCAAGCACAAATAAATATTTTCTCTACCCCTGACTCAGACGTTTTTAACGCGTAATCAAAAATTATCACAAAAAATTGATTGATAATTAAACCGGTAACCGGTGCACGATGTTACTACCACTAATGACAACTGAGTTCTCTATGCTATACTCATCGCCAACTGTTATTTACTAAAAAATGCAATACCAACCAAGCCGACTCGATAATTCAACTTTGTACTACTCTCAAGTTTCAAAAATGACCGATTATCATACTATCAATTAAGGCATTTCCTTACATATTCATGATTCACAAATTTCTACTTAAGTTACTCAACCACCCTTACACTTACGGTCGGAATTTTCCGAATCGCGCAACTCTTTCTTCTTTATATTAAGCAATATACTTGCTTCCTTCAATTGCAACCTAATCCTCGGCATTTTTTTGAAACACTCAAAAATAACCTTTTTGCAACAAACCAAAGACCGTTACCGCGGAAGATGTGAAGAACTTCTGTCAACGCTGTTCATTATGAGCCAAGAGGGGTGTCAAATAATCAACCCTTGTTAAACAATACATAATTTTACAAGTACCAAAAAAAAAATTAAAGCTTCAAGATTGGTGATGTTATCATATGAGTGCTAAATATCCACCACTAATCATTTTTTAATCACTAATTAATTTATCCCGCTCGATAAAAAAATTAATTTCGACAGAAAAAAACAACTCCGCCGCTGTTTTTTCCCCAACCAATCACAAGCCAATATTTGAACCCATCAAAGCTTGTGATTGGTTGCGCCATGTTTTTGACAGTTGTTGTGCAGAGCCAACTTGCAAGGATTTATCTGCATTATTTATCCTTCATTTGTTTTGATTTATGAGTTTTTGCCAACTTTTGGTCACTACAAGAGGTATGTTATCTACAATTGTTGTTATTCAACCGTGTCACAGTATTTATACCCCTGAACCGTCTGAATCACAAGTGCGCGAAATGTATGTACTTGGAAGTCAATATACACGACAGTGTACTTAAGGCCTTATTTATTTGTATACTTTTCATTAAGTTAGAGTTAATTATCAGTGAACAAGTGACTTAAGACATGACTGAGTACTTTTTTTGGTTTCTTAGCTCGCCAGTTAAACAACAGAGAAATTAAGTAGTCTGGCTTGGGTCCTAATTGAAAAACTACATATTTTTCCAGAAGTACCAACACAGGACACGAAAAATGATAGACACAGATTTGCCTGGATTTCCTCCGAGTTGTAAGTGGACCTACTGATAAATTAAAAAACAGATAAAAAATAGTTCAATTATTTCCAAATTTTGAGAACAATAGTAAAGTCACGTAGCATAGGAATCAAAAACACCCTTTAAAATTACTACCAACGTGACAAAAACGCTCTTTGAGCTACCTGACCGTTCCATTAATTCATAATTAATTATGCAAATTTGCGATTCAGTCAAAATTAATTGAGTTTTTGAATCTTTTAAATGTGCAAAAACCGAAGTTAGTCACGCCTTAGCTTAAACAAGTTTTATTTTTTTTAATTTTTTTTGGTGCTAATTGTTAGACATAAAAATGAGATTAAGTAACTTACCTTAAATGATAAAATTTCTTGTTTTTGTTAGTCCATCCGTTTTTTTTTCCTAAAACAAAAAGAATCAATCATTGGAGGTAACTTTTTACATGAAATTGAGTCAGGAGTTAGAAAAAACGTGTGGATGTGTAGAAAATTGTTACCAAGCGACATAATTGCCATAAACCTTCCCAATTTAGGGGTTACAATGCCAAGCAAAAGTGACATGAGGAGGCAAGTGGTTTCAATTATCAATTAAGGGGACCCCATGTGGTTCCAGTATCAGAAAGAAGTTTTTGTAGATGGTTATCATTTGCGTAAAATTGCGACTTATCACTTACTTTGTTTATATAATGATCCTAAGGATTAATAACCATTAACCAAAATTATATCTTGAAGCCGTCAGTACGAAATTTGATTTTTCGTCTGCGGACATTCGGTCGGCCCACCATAATTTTCTAAAGTTTTCTACCACAATAACGTCCTCAAAACTTAAATATTCACTAAAATGTTCCCAATGTCTTCAGGAAGATTGACGCCATAACACAGACATGACAGTTCGCAGTAGTTCTGGAATCATAGAAATTTGGAAAATTAAGGGAGGCGCTTACTCGATGACTACCATAACTGGTTTGAGAAAATTTCACCTATTTGTGACGTCATGAGGCATACCATTAGCCCGATCAATAGCACCAGACATGGGACTATACACACGCACTAGGAATTCTCTTATCTTACTTATTTTCTACATTAGTATTAGTTATTTAGATGGAATTTTGCAAAACTAGTTTGTTATAAATAGTTTGGTAGCATTTGGGTGAGCTCGCGTAGGGTACAGACACCAGTCGGTAATGCAGAGCTCTAGAATTCACTCTCATTACAGTCAGTAGTCAGTGTGATTGTGTTTGTTTGGAGAAATGGCGGCTGTAATCTGACACAGGTAAACAGGTGATTTGTAAAATGACCCTTCAGTAAAGTAAAATTTCAGAAATGACGACTTTTTGATCACACCTCAATTAAAATCATGGAGAACGCAATAAATTTGAGCTCCCAAACAACGGAATCGGACATGGAATGTTCAGATAATGACAATGATTGTTTTGATGATGATGATTATTACAACATTGTTGATGACAATGAAATCGAACAAATTGATCCAAGCAAAACCGACCCGGAGAATTTTAAGTACGACTGTCTAGGCGAGGAACAAGTGGAGCGGCTACTTAACGAAACTGTTGAATGTCTCAGCTACAACCTCAAAATCACACCTTCCCTAGCCAAAGTACACCACAGTCAGGGTTTAAACTTGTCTAACTTGACACATTTAAGGTTTTGTTGCTCAGCCATCAATGGCGCGTCAACAAAATCATCGAAAAGTTCCGGAAAGACGCCTCAGAATTGTTAATCAGCTCGAGAATCAAACCACCGGTCACACCCCCGAGTTTAACCCTTTCCAGGTACATCACGTGTCCGGTGTGTGTTGTAGTCCAACCAGCGGAGAAGTTCTTCGGCTTGTCTTGCTCACACATGTTTTGCAAGGATTGTTGGGTGACACATTTTGAAGTACAAATAAATCAGGTAAAACTCGGTTTTATTATTTTTATTGTTTATTAAGTTCGTTTTACAGGGAGTATCAACGGCTATAAGTTGTATGGCCCGTGATTGTGTAGTGTTGGCACCTGAAGACTTCGTTTTGAAACACTTGTCTCGTCCAAACATGCGTGAAAAGTATCAGCAATTTACGTTCCAAGATTACGTCAAGTCGCACCCTGAGTTACGCTTCTGTCCCGGCCCCAACTGCCCCATTGTTGTACATAGCACCGAAATTAAGGCCAAAAGAGCGATTTGTTCCAACTGCAAAACCGCCTTTTGCTTCCAGTAAGCCCCTCACTTGACGTTAACACTGTTTTAGTTCAGTTGTTTTAGGTGTGGAATGGATTATCACGCACCTACAGAGTGTTCAATTATCAAGAAATGGCTTACAAAGTGTGCCGACGACAGTGAAACAGCTAACTACATAAGTGCACATACCAAAGACTGTCCAAAGTGCCACATTTGTATCGAGAAAAACGGCGGATGCAATCACATGCAATGTTATAATTGCAAGCACGATTTCTGCTGGATGTGTTTAGGCGACTGGAAATCGCACGGCTCGGAGTACTACGAGTGCTCGCGCTACCGGGAGAACCCCAATATTGCTCACGAATCGGTCCATGCTCAGGTAATTTAATTACTATACCCAGAGAAAAATTTCGAGTAAGATAAAATTCTGTCAATTTTTTTTGACATTTGACATTTTTTAAATGATACGATTAATGTGCATCGAAGTAGTCGTTGAAAGGGATTCTTTTAAGGTGGCAACCATGCCAAAATTCAAACAACCCTAACCTCAATCTTCCCTAAAAAATATTTTTTCTAAATAAATGAGCAAAAAATAATTAAAATTAACATAGGGTAGCAAACTTAAAGATTTTTGTCAATATTGATGTGCTTAAATTTGTTCTGAATGACATTAATGACACTTTTCTTTCTACAACCTACTTGATGCATATTAAAATGAAAAATTCAAAGAGAAATAAATAGTCAAAATTTTTCTCTGGGGCGCGAGTTCTGGTGTCTAACTTGCAAATTGAAGGCTCGCGAGGCGCTGAAGAAGTACCTCCACTACTACGAGCGGTGGGAGAACCACTCCAAGTCGCTGAAGTTGGAGGAGCAGACTTTGGAGAATCTGAGGGCGAGGATCAATCAGAAAGTGATGGCGGGTGTGGGTACTTGGATTGATTGGCAATATCTCTTCACGGCGGCAAGCCTCCTTGCAAAATGCCGTTACACGTTGCAATATACATATCCATATGCTTATTATATGGATGTAGGCCCTCGTAAGGAACTATTCGAGTATCAGCAAGCGCAATTAGAAGCTGAAATCGAAAACTTATCGTGGAAAATCGAACGTGCGGAAACCACCGATCGGGGAGACCTCGAAAACCAGATGGACATTGCTGAGAAACGAAGAACGACACTTCTGAAGGACTTTTTAGATGTTTGATACAGTTTTTTGCCAATTTACGCTTTGGATAAATGCGATTTCTCGATTAGTCAAGGCGGGTTTATTTTCTTATCACCAGAGGCAATTGTTTTATACGTCCTTTAGCTACTTATTTTTATTTAAACTTGTTGGTGCAAACGCACATATTTTCCGACGTGAAAAGTCATTCAAACTACGTATTTTTATAATACATTCATCTCGGAAATAAAAGATTGTCGCGTTGAAATTGAAATATTCTGCAACGATATTATTTTTGGCGTTTCTCTTGTATAATAAAATTCCTCTAATTATATTTTATTTGTTCGCAAATAAACACTCTCAATCGAAACACACTATCTCTGTTTTTTGTAATCATCGAGGTCAAAGTGCATCACTTAACTCCTGATTGAACAATTCTTCAGTCACAATGAAACTTAACGTAGCAATAGTGTTTTTATTCTGTCAAGAAATTTTTTGTTACAATTACACAACTAAATTCCTTGATGTTCCTCTTGACCACTTCAGGTAAAAAAAACACCGATTTATGGGCAAAAAATTTTTAAAAAAGTTTCAGTTTTACGAACAATGCAACTTTTAAATTAAAATATTTAATCAATGATAGTTTTTGGATTGATGATGGTCCAGTATTCTTCTATACGGGTAATGAGGGGGCTATTGAGACTTTCGCCGACAATATTGGTTTCATGTACGACATAGCCCCCATCTTTAATGCTCTAATTGTCTTTGCCGAACACCGTTATTATGGGGCTACCCTCCCCTTCGGCAATGCTTCTTTCACCACCCCCAGTCACTTAGGATACTTGACTTCAAGTCAAGCCCTTGCTGATTACGTCTACTTGATCAACTACCTCCAAACCACCCACCAACGCTCCGATTACTTGAGTAAAGTCCCTGTGGTGGCTTTCGGGGGCTCCTACGGCGGAATGTTAGCAGCGTGGCTCAGAATGAAATACCCAGCTTCAGTTGTGGGGTCTATTGCAGCCTCAGCCCCCATTTGGCAATTCCAGGGGCTCACCCCGTGTGAGAATTTCAACCGAATTGTGACAAATGTTTATAAAACAGCAACCGATAATGACTGCAGCGCCCCAATTCAAAAATCGTGGAAAGCTATAAGAAACATCACAGCAAGCGACGAAGGAAAAGGCTGGCTTACAAAAGTATGGAAATTGTGCGCACCTCTGAAAACATCAAATGATGTTGAGGATTTGCTTGATTGGTTTTCGGAAATTTTAGTTAACATAGCAATGGTTAATTATCCATACCCAACGAAATTTTTAGCCCCTTTACCCGCGTTTCCCGTCAGGAATTTTTGTTATAAATTGAGTGGGGTGAAAATAACTGATGATAAGTCACTCCTGACTGTCATTGGTAATTCTCTTGAAATTTATACTAATTTCACGAAAACTAACAAGTGTAATAAAATAAACCAAACAGCGGAGTCTTTGGGTGAAAATGGTTGGGATTTCCAAGCTTGCACCGAAATGATAATGCCGATGTGTTCCGATGATAACGACATGTTTGAGAACCAATCTTGGGATTTCAAAAAATACTCAGCCAAGTGTTACGCTAAATGGGGGGTGAAACAGACCAACCCCGAATTGCCAATTCTGGAATACGGGGGGAAGGACATAACAGCTGCTAGTAACATTGTTTTTAGTAACGGATTACTCGACCCTTGGTCAAGCGGAGGCGTCTTGAGTAACATCTCTGCGACAGTTTCCTCCGTTATCATCCCTGAAGGGGCCCACCACTTGGATTTACGCGGAGAGAATAAAAACGACCCCAAATCGGTAATAGAAGCCCGCCAATTCCACGTCAACAGTATAAGAAAATGGCTCGTTGATTTTTATTACTCACGCGATAAAAACTACTTTAAAAAAACGACTTTTTTCAATAAGATTACATACACGCATGGAAACAATGTTTAAAGTCAAAAATTATTGTATTTCCTTTTTCCTCAAATAAATACTGATATAAATACTGTTAAAGCTTTTTTGTTAAAGTCAAGACGGGCCAAAGTAGCCCCAAAGCACCACACAAGTATGTAATTTTCGACCCTACGCTCCAGAACGCAATACTGGCGAAAATCGGTCCTAAGGCCCGTGCTAGAGCCCCCAATGACCTAAAAATGCCCATAACTGTCCCTTTTTGGTTATCTTTACCATGTTCAGAAGCCATTGTCATAATACACGGGACCACCATTGCTGTTGCTGTAAAAACTACTCAAAAATTGATTTAACAAATGAGATACTTACAAACAGCGAATAAAAATAGGCCGAAATAGAGTAAAAGGGGCCCTTGGGCCAACCCCACGCAAACAAATGAAGGCACAATAATCCACAGTCCGCAAATAGCAGTGGGCTTGATTTTTTGGGGCGATATTCGACGCACATACCCCCCTTGCATCAGGGCCATTGTGACCCCAATACTGAAAAACATCCACCCTTGTTGCATTGAATTGTAATTGAAGATGTGATGGGTTAAAAATGTTAGGGTGAATTCAAGCCCACTGTAAATAAATAAATAGACGAAATAGACCCGTCCTAGACGTCTCAATTCAAACATATCGGACGGTTTTAAGCCAGTTACGGCTTTAAACTGGAATAAATCTTTCCAATTAATGAAAGATTTGGCACTTTTGAGACTTGTTTTCACACTTTTGGCACGTTTTTCCTGTAAACAGACAAATTAGGAGAGATACTAACGAAATTTCGGTTTTTACCTCCGGTAAAGTTTCCTTGAAACAACAAATGAAAAAAATTAAATCAGCAAGTGATAATAAGAGTGCAAATAGTGCAGGGACTATGAACCAATTTCCGACTTTTTTCTTGGCCCAAACTGCAAATATGGCCCCTATTAACGGCCCCACGATGAAACCCAAAGAAAAAGCAATACCAACGAAAGCCTAAAAGGAGAGTTTCAAGACATTTCTTATTTTGTGACTTAACCAACCATTCCTTTGCCTCGTGTGCTCATTGTTGAAACATCAGCGATTATAGCCATGCTTAAAGAAACGTTTCCTTTGCTTATTCCCCCCAGAAATCGTGCCAAAATAAATAAAACTAAATTACTTGATAAGCACCACAAAACATACGATGTTGATATTCCAATCTGTGAAAAATCTTATTAGTGCTCTAAACAAAACTCAACTTACCAAACATGTGACCATGACTTTTTTTCGCCCCACAACATCTGAGACTCCCCCGACGATGGGGGAGACAAGGAATTGCAAAAAACTAAACATTGAGCCAAGGAAGCCCCCAAAAAGTACCGAATTGTATTTCTCCGGGGCCCCCACAAACTCTTGGAAAAACTGGATGCGTCTTGAAAGCCATGAGTACAGACCTGTGGTGTCGTTTATTTTGTAATATTCAAGCAGTGAGGGTAACAACGGGAGAATCATGGTAAATGCTAGTAAATCCAATAAAAGGGACATAAAAACTATGTAAACCGTAGGACTGATTTTTTCCACTTTCTGCGACATTTTCGTCTTATTGGAAGTAGTGCAACTTTCTAATTCTGATGCCTCAAGAATACGATTTCGGAATTTGACTCACATTGTTTTGGGGCTACATAAAAGTCATTTAGAACATGTAGATGTCCCACCGGAAGTAACAACAAGGGTTAAATCAAGTTTTTAGTTACATTTTTTGAATAAATAAGGCGATAACATGTGAGGTTATCTAACTGTCAAAGCTGACACCTGTCAAATTACAAGAAATAAAAATGAGTAAAATAAATAAATAGAAATATGTTTTTGATAACCCCATTTCAAAAAAAGGGGTGTCCCACTAGAAGTAGCAACAAGTTTTTATTTACATTTTTTGAATGAATAAGTTGATAACATGTAAGAATCAAAAAACTGAACTGGTCCGCTGTGATTCCGAGCTGTCAACTGTCATGAATTATGAAAAAAATTAATAAGATAAAAAAATTAAGCAAATAAATTGAATTGCGTTTTGGTAATTTTTTTTCAAAAAATCGGTTTTAAGCATGGTCATCGGTCAATTTTTTGATCACATGACCGGTAATAACGAAAAAAATAATGTAATCATTTTTTAAGGATAAACTTTAATGTAATGCAAAATAAAGCATTGTCTGACTTCCCACTTGCTTAATAAGCCCATTTTTGAACAGTTCGGTGTCTCTATTTAATTAGTGGAATTTTATCAGTCCATCTTCGTTTAATTAGTTTGTTTACTCGAGACAGGTGGTCAGGTAAGTTCAAAAATTGTCAAAAATCGCCTTATCAGTATCACCCATGGTGTAAAGTTCATTTTTCTTTATAAAAACGCTCGTATTGTATTGTGAAATAATTGTGTAGTCACATTGAGTGATTGAAATTGAAAAAAGTGTTATCCAAAGTTGAAGGTTATGTTAATGTATTCAAGGTATCCTTGAAATTCACATTCCGGTGGTGCTTGAAGAAAATTCAACACTGTCATGGCTCTCGAGGTACGTTTTTGCTATTTTTCCGTAAATTGACATGACTTGCATTTTTCTAGTTGGAAGTGGTGAAAACTTCCGGTAAACCGATTGGGAAAATCTCAATCGCGAGTTCGGCGACAATAAAAGACTTAAAAAAGGAGATTTTCAAAAAGTACAAATTGGGAGTTGAGCGCCAATCGATACGAAATGGGCCGAAAGGAAAAGACGAAAAAGACAGTCAAGAAATAAATAAAATCAACTTGGAGACTCCTAACACAGTTTATGTTAAGGATTTGGGACCACAAATCGGCTGGGATACGGTTTTCTTCCTCGAATACGCGGGGCCGATATTTCTCTATGGGGCCCTGTTTTTATTCCCGCATTGTTTCTACGGGGGCAAGAGTCTGGAACAGGGGCGGGGGCACAACGCCAGAGATATTTTTCCGTTTTATATTTTTCCAGTTGAGCAAATCAACAAAATATGCGGGGGGTCACTTATCAAAGTCCACGATAATGCATAGTAAGTTTTTTTGTTACCAACAAAAATGCATTCAATTATTGTAGTTACGCCGGTATTTTATGGACTATTCATTATGGGAAAAGAATTCTTGAAACGGCGTTTGTGCACCGATTTTCGCACGGAACAATGCCAATTTTCAATTTATTTAAAAACTGTTCCTACTATTGGGGCTTTGCGATTTATCTAGCCTACCATGTTAACCACCCCTTGCACACTGCGCCCCCAACGTGGCTCTTCTACCTCGGCGTTTTCATATTTCTAGTACGTCAATTTCCTGGTGAATTTTTTTGTAACTTTAGTTTTAGTTCTGCGAAGTTGGTAATTTAAGTATTCATATTTTATTGAGGAATTTACGACCTGAAGGCTCGACCGTGAGGAAAATTCCAGTACCGGACTCGAACCCGTTCACGAAATTATTTAATTACGTCTCATGTCCCAATTACACTTACGAGTTTGGGTCTTGGGTCGGTTTCACTCTCTTGACGGGTTGTTTTCCAGGTAAAAGTGGAATTTTGGGGGTCAACTAGTGACGCTTTTTTTCAGTTTTTATTTTTGCGCTCGCGGGACTGTACCAAATGACTGTTTGGGCTATTGGGAAGCACAAGAAGTACCGACAGGAGTTCCCCAATTATCCCAAGAAGAGGAAAGCGATTTTACCATTCCTGATTTAATTTTTTGTTGGGGTTAATTTGTTTTTTTTTAATGGTGTTTTGCGTAATAAAACGGTTTCATGGATTGACTTTTTATTTAATAAATAAACTTACAAATGGTTAAATTAAGTGCATTTGTTCCTTAATTTGTATCTAGTTAAATAAATAAATATAAAAGCTACGATCACTATAATTTTTTGACACTGACCTGAGTTATAGAACAAGTTTAGAGTTGAAAAATTGCACTTGAAACAAGAGAGATTTTGTGAAATAAATAGTTACAAATCTATTAAATTATCCACAGTCACGTTACTTGTGGTTTTTGTAACAACTTTGGTTTCCGTGTAGCTACTCTCACTTTCAAAAAAAGTGGAATTTTCCAAATGACTGCAAAACGTTGATTTCTTTTCCTTATTCCTCACTTTTTTCACTTCCACTTTTTTTGCTTGACTGCCAGTTGAATTTTTACTTCTCATATAGTCCAAAATGGGGTCTTCTCCTGTCTTCATGCTAATTTTTGTCTTGAGGATGATATACTGACACCTCCAGTACTCATACGAGTGCATTTTTAACATAGACACCCATTTATTTACATCAGCGTCGCAACGACACGAAAAAATATGTTTTGCTTCATTGTCTTTGAACTTATCATTTACCTTAAATGTGATGGAAAAAGCGAAAGGAATCCCTTTGTGGGGCCTTTCGTAAGCCACTTGCGCATTTTCTAAGACTAGGACACCAAGGGGTTGCTGTTCCTGTTCAGTGGTGTTCACGCGGTAATAAAATAATAAATTCATGATTAACTTGAAGTGTCTTTCTTTAAATGAGGGCTGCTGGTACCAGTCGGACCAATCGTTGGCTTGGGGCTTCATATGATGAAGGATTCCCTCTAACTCTGGTTTGCCTTCACCCACTGTCATCAATTCTCTATCGTTGAACTTCATTTTCACACACACATTTATTTTTAGGCGCTGAGGACACAATTTTGGCAAGGGTTACATTATTTAGTGTATTAAACAAATTTAATAAACAACTTAGCCTAACTTTTTGACGTTTAAGTGAGAGGCAGTGCCGCCAGATCAAAAACATGAAATTCACCAAGTCCGAGTTGAAAAATTCGCCTTTTCAGCAGATTTTTATGGCAAAATCTCTCGAAAAAACGCAGTTTAAAGCTTAAAAACATGATTAAACTCTTGAAAAAAAGCAAAAATGTCATGCTTTTCGGCCTAATTCTATGATATTTTTGCTTGTTTTCAACAAAATTTTGCGAAAAAATTGTGTTTCTAGCTGAAAAATGTGCTAAACCACTTAAAAACACAAAAATAATAATTTTAGATTTAATTTCTTGATTATTCAGTTTGTTTTACCGAAATCTAGCAAAAAAACCTGAGATTTTAGTACAAAAACGTGCTTAATAGCATTTTGGCCTAATTTTGTGGTTTCTCGGCTTATTTTGTTCAAAAACTAGTTACATTGAATGAAACAAACAAAATAACATCAATTTCAGTTTATTTGTGTGGTTTTTTTCTTTGTATTATCTCGAAAACGTGCTTAAAAACTTGAAAAGGGCAAAAATAACGCCATTTTTGGTCGACTTTTTGGATTGTTTTTAACGAAATTTTAAGTTTCTAGCTGAAAAAATATTCGAAAAAGACAAAAATAAATTGTCATTTTCGGTCCTGTCTAGTAAAATCTTGTAAAAAACAAACAGAACTATTTTTAATCTAGGTATTTGGTGGTTTTTCGACTTTTTTGATGAAAATTGACGAAATGGTCAAGTTTCTGGTTGAAAACGAGGAAAATGTTCGAAAAACAGTTTTTCATTTCCACAACACTGTGAAAAAGCAAAAATGACATGCTTTTCGGCCTAATTCTATAATATTTTGGCTTGTTTTCAACAAAATTTTGCGAAAAAATTGTGTTTCTAGCTGAAAAACGTGCTAAAACACTTAAAAAACGCAAAAATAATGTAAAATTAGACTTAATCTCTTGATTATTAATTTGTTTTACCGAAATCTAGCAAAAAAACCTGAGAGTTTAGAACAAAAATGTGCTTAAAAGTATTTTGGCCAAATTTTGTTGTTTCTCGGCTTATTTTTGTCTTATTTTGTTCAAAAACTAGTTACATCGGATGAAACAAACAAAATAACATCAATTTCAGTTTGTTTGTGTGTTTTTTTTCTTTGTTTTATCTCGAAAACGTGCTTAAACACTTGAAAAGGGCAAAAATAACGCCATTTTTGGTCGACTGCTCTTTTTGGATTGTTTTTAACGAAATTTTAAGTTTCTAGCTAAAAAAAATATTCGAAAAAGACAAAAATATATTGTCATTTTCGATCGTGTCTAGTAAAATCTTGTAATAAAACAAACAGAACTATTTTTAATCTATTTGGTGGTTTTTCGACTTTTTCGAAAAAAAATGACGAAATGGTTAAGTTTCTGGTTGAAAATGTGGAAAATGTTCGAAAAACAGTTTTTCATTTCCAAAAAATCACAGATATTAAAACAGTTTTTCATTTACAAAAAATCACAGATATTAGAATTTTACAAAGGTTTTAACAAAAACTTTATTTCAAATAACAAAAAATTTAGAACTCACAAAGCCAATTAAATTCAAAAGAATACACAAAAAATAAGAACACATCAAACGTCTAATATTAAGATAATAAGTTACGATGATTACGATTTGAATGGCAAAATCTCTCGAAAAAACGCAGTTTAAAGTTTAAAAGTCTGCTTAAACTCTTGAAAAAAAGCAAAAATGACATGTTTTCCGGTATAATTCTATGATTTTTCGACTTGTTTTCAAGAAAATTTTGCGAAAAAATTGTGTTTCTAGCTGAAAAACGTGCTAAAACAATTAAAAAACACAAAAATAATGTAAAATTAGACTTAATCTCTTGATTATTTAGTTTGTTTTACCGAAATCTAGCAAAAAAACTGAGATTTTAGTACAAAAATGTGCTTAAAAGCGTTTTGGCTAAATTTTTTGGTTTCGCGGCTTATTTTTGTCTTATTTTGTTCAAAAACCAGTTACATCGAATGAAACAAACAAAATAACATCAATTTCAGTTTATTTGTGAAGTTTTTTTCTTTGTTTTATCTCGAAAACGTGCTTAAACACATGAAAAGGGCAAAAATAACGCCATTTTTGGTCGACTTTTTGGATTGTTTTTAACGAAATTTTAAGTTTCTAGCTGAAAAAATATTCGAAAAAGACAAAAATATGTTGTCATTTTCAATCCTGTCTAGTAAAATCTTGTAAAAAACAAACAGAACTATTTTTAATCTAGGTATTTGGTGGTTTTTCGACTTTTTTGACAAAAATTGACGAAATGGTCAAGTTTCTGGTTGAAAACGTAGAAAATGTTAGAAAAACAGTTTCATTTCCAAAAATCACAAATAGTAGAATTTTACAAAAGTTTTCACCATGGAAATCACAAATCTGGTGAAATTTCACCACACCTGGCAACACTGGTGCGCGGTGTAGGGGATTATTATATTATGATTCAAACAACAAAAATACGAACTCACAAAAACTTTATATCAAATAACAAAAACGTTAGAACTCACAAAACTAATTGAATACAAAAAATACGAACACATCAAACGTCTAATATAATAATAATAAGTTAATAAGTTAATACTTTATAATCATGTGAACAAATAATTTCAGCTACTCGTCAGATCCGCTGAAATGAAATACTTCTTCGCTGCTGGAACGGCTTTGAGCTGCAGCTTTAATAGAATCAAGAAAATGGTTCACCTGAAACAAAAAAATCAAGTACATTTAAAAAATGCGTAATCATTTGCTTAATATACTACAGTGTAAACCCCCTCTGGTTCATCATCATCATCAAATCCACCTAAATCAATTGGTGGTAGCGGCGGCGGGGGTGGGGGAGGAACAAGAACCCTTCCCTGAAACAACTAATTAGTACTTGAAATGTCTAAAATTAAAATTTTACAAAAGGTTCACAGTTGGGTAACGGATCCGGAATACGCATCGGTGGCAAAGGCTCGGGAACTTGAAACTGAAAAAATTATATTAAAAATAAAACATTATATTATAGAACGGATATTACGAATCGTGGAGGCAGTTGACTGGCTTCGTCCTCGGATTCTTCCTCCTTCTGAAAAATTGAAAAGAAAAATTTGCAGTTGCAATTCTCTGAAATACTGACAAGTCCTCTGCGTTGTCTTGCAGCAACGAATCGGGCATGAGATTTCAATTTCTTTTTCAATTCCTGGCCCAAAATGGAAGCATATCTGCGGCTTTCCTGCTCCTCGTAAGCACTGTAGCTAGTGCTTGTATCAGAATTATTATCGTTGGCTGTGAAAATACGCTTAGATTTTTTCATTTTTAAAAACGATAATACCTCCAATATACGCCTCGTATTCTTCATCCTTGTCCGGTTCAACCGAATTCAAGCTTGCATCATCAACATCCCCGTGACTGGTTGAGGCAACAGGACCATCTTCAGGAATCTCAACGAGTTTTCTTTGGGTTTGGGGTTTCGGTTGGTTCAGATTTATCTCATAGAATTTATGCAAAATATCCAAAGCCTCATAGTAATCAAACACGTGAGTACGGAGCTCCGCAATGCACTTGCCAACCACTTCACGTTCGTTCAAAGTTTGAAGATTGTGCTGATTGAAAGCCATTTGTAATTGTTTTTATCAATTAAATTAAAAATATGCCCTCCTTAGTCTGTTAAGAGGCCAAAAAGACGAGATTACAAGCAAAACTGAGTTGAACAAAGAAGGTTTTAGTATCAATTATTTGATTTTATACCCAGTTCGTCTTGTAAAAACAAAATTATGTAACGTTTGTATACCTAGTCGTTTTTTCAGTATAAGAAAACACTCACCTTTTGCAACATCTTGTAAACAATTTCAGACTTTTCAATAATGTCTGAGACATGTACCATCATATCGCAAGTCCCCATGTACAGTTTTGATTGTCCATTTGGTTTGATCTTCATAATTCGCTTTTTAACTTGGCTTCGGTTTAAGTAGTAGTATTTTAGATCATCAAATTTTTTATTAATAACATTGTAAGCTTTCTCCGTGATAATTCTCATTCTCGGAATGAGTAGCTCTAAGATATAGCGAAGATCAACATCATATTGAGACCAAATTCTAGGACTCAAAGCAATAGTCAACGAAGTTAAACAATTGGAAGCTAGTAACAAGTAAATATCACAGAGTTGCTGAAATGATAAAATTGAAAAATTAGGAACTGGGCTAAATGATTAAACCAACTTTCAACTGGGTAACACAGTCATTGATATTGTGAATGTTTAAGCTGGTCAACTTATCTATTTCAATATTCTCCACATGAGCAAACTCCTTTTTGAGGAAAGGCACATAATTCCCCAATTCGCGTACGCAAATCCTTAGCTTGTAACATACAAAGGTTTCTTCCATGAAAACTAATTCGACCAATTTCTTCATAGCTGGTGTGTAAGGATTGATAATATCAGTAGTTTCAGGACTAAAAAAATTCTCAATCGTCACATTTCCAATCAATTAAAAACCTACCTTGCGACGTTTTTGTGCTTAAAATATTCAGAAATCATGCGATTTAGTTTCGCAATTTTACCAACTGTATCAACAAAAATCTCGAAGTTGCGTTTTTGTGTCCTTTGTCGGATGGAACGACGCATAGTTTTGACAATCATCAATAGAACAGGCGAGGCCGAAATTGGCAACATGTAAACAGGGCATTTTCTTTCCGCCAAGAAGACAGTTCCAGCCAAAGACAACCCCCCAATTAATTTTTGCAAAAACGACAACTTAATTTCCTGGCTGTAACGTTCATCACTTCCGAAATGCATCAAAATGCACTCCATGTCTTCGTCTAAGATGACCCCAGAGTTAATAATGCAGTGAATGTAGTAATCTGATTGCTACAATTTTACTAATTAAATCAAGTGTTAAATTTTTGAGGGGGAATTACCGAGCAATTGATAACCAATTGAGTTTTTCCTGTTAGTGCCATTGTAGATGGTTTTGCGACTCTAAAAAATATAAACAATTATCTAACCTCAAAAAATGCCGGCAATTTAGAGGGATTCTAGTTATTTTCATTCCGCTATGTTGGACAAAAATTTTCAACAGCCAACTCTGCATTCTTTACTTTTTCAAGTCCAATAAAAAAACTACCATTTTTTTTTATACAGCCACAAAACCAATTTTTTTAATTGATTTGCCTGTCACAGACCACCCCTAAAATGTATTTTGTTCACACCCCCTAAACATTAATTAGGTTTATCAAAATTTAAGTCTACATTAAAAATATTCGTTTTGGTCATGCGCGAACCAAACATTTAAAAAGAAAAGCGCGATTCTTTCAGTTGTTGTTTCTAAAAACAATTGGACCAAATAGCAATAAAATTATTAATTTCTCGCTCAACAAGAATGTTCTAGAACATTCTAGACCTTCCTAACCTCACAAAATGGCGGCAAAAAAATTACAAAATGTCTCCCTTAAAATTTGAAAATTACGTCGACTATCGTTTATTTTCCCGTTTTTGGAAACCTTTTTTGCAATTTAAGGCTTGTAGGGCTCAGTTTTAAAGATATTTTTCTAAGTGACCCCACGCCTTACTGTTTAATGAAAAACTTACCCCTGGACTTACCTCTACGTAGGAGTTTCTGTCGCTCTGCTGCACTAGGGCTCACGTGGTGGCGATTCCTGTATAATAATGTTAGAATAAACGATTTAATCCATAAAAACACTTACAATTAACGCAAACAAAAAACTTTGTTGAAACTTTGACTTTTGCAAGAAGGATATAAATGTAATCTGTTTTACCGACTAAGGAGTGCTTCACCCAACTTAATTATTAATTAAATCATGATGGGTTGCCGTTTAAAAAAAAAAAAAATCCAAAACTCAAAAACTAAAAGAAATTGCGAAAAATGTTATTCTTGATAAGTGGTCACATTTTAGTTGTACTTTACACTACATTAATTATTTGTTTCGTAAAATGCTTAGTTTAAGAAAAAAATGCTTGGTTCCATACGTTTTATTCACCTGGTATGTAATTTTTCACTCACATTGACAATACTGAAGCCTTTATCAGCGATAGCATTGCTCGGAACCTGAAAATTGTACATTTACAGGCGCCAGAATTTCAGTCATTTCCTTGATCTTTGTCGTGGTCGTGGTATATGTTTTGGATTTATTGTGTCAATTTTTGACGACTGAAACGTCTGAAAGTTTAGTTGACTTTTTTGTCACCTCGCTAAACTATAATGTTGGCTAATCAATTAACAATTAAATTAATTAACAATTTTGTACTGATCCATTGTGTCCAGCTGTTTTTCATAAAAAAAAATATTACTCAGTTGATGAGTTTCAATCCCATTTAAGGTCACTTTGACCAACACCATTCGAAATTTAAAAAATAATAAAACATTACAAGGCGTTTCTTAATCGTATTGAAGTTGATGTTTTTTCGAATTTTTTTAATCGATAATTTTTTCTCAAGTGTGTGATTTATTTGAATTATTTCTCCGTTATTGATGGCCGTCCGGACTCAAGGACACACGATTTTTAAAAATTGATTCTTATGTAAAATTTTCTGCTGATTTTCTGCTGATAAGTTTAATACAAATGAGGCAATTGCAATTTCAAAATCTGATTTAAATTTTAATTTTTTTGGTTTCAGCCCTGCTTGGTTAAAATCTAATTTCTGACATAATTTTAGTTTTGAAACTAAACTTTGTCAGAAACTAAGTTTGGAAACTTTCAATAACTTATTTTTCTGTAGAGTAAAGTGCCTTTTATGTGGCAGAATCAAGGTCTAGGCTCTTATACCAAATTTCAAAATCATCGACCGACTAAGTATGGTTTTTATTTATTTTTGAAAAAAAAATAAAAATTTGTAAAAAAAATTAGCAATTTTTCATTGTTTTATAAATTTTGTGAATTTTTTTATTCATAATATGTACTCGTAAAACAACTTTTTTGATTTTCGAAATAAACATAAAAAAGGAGAAATTAAAATTGGCCGATGATTTTAAAATTTCGTATACGGACCTAGACGTTAATTCTAAACAACTTTTCTAAATAAATTTTAACGTATCTTTTATTAAAAAGCAACTATTTTGGAGTATTTAATACACCAACGAGTACCAGATTTTGAAATTGCAATTTTCGGCATTTGTATTACACCCATCAAAATGATTTTTACACCAAAAACTTATTTGAAGTATTGGCTTAATTTCATCTCGATCATGTAAAGGTCTATCTCGTAAAATAAAAATTTTTTTCGCTTCTTGAAAATTTCACTACACAAATTTGACACGTTACAAGAAAACTGTAATTTTCTCAGTTCTCTTATATCGAAACTAAATCCTGATAAATGCGTTGCAATCTACATTAATTAAGGAACATTTTGATAAAAAAATCAATTTTCTAGCTACATCTAGAGAGAAGATACAGCGGTGTAAATTATAACGTAAACACAATTAGAGCAGGCGACGAGTTTTTCGCGGAAGACTTAAAAATCTTAAGTGCGTTTTATGATTCTTATGATTCACTAAATATTCGCACTAGAATGTCCTTGCCCTGAGTACTGGAAGGAACCCATCGCAAGAGATGACGTGTTATTCGCCCTATAAAAAGGAAGCGCGAATATCGCTAAGAGATCAGTCAAAAATCAGTCGTCTAGTCGAACCAGACTAGTTGTGCCAATTGAAGAAGAAGCTGCCAAAACATCCTGTGCCACCATCTGAGGCCAGAAGCTATCAGCCCGAAGCAGTCTGATTGTTCTATTGCATATAGTCATGAGCTGTAAGTTTTGATTTATTTTCCCTTTGACTGTTCACGTTGCTCCGACTTACCATGTCGTACCATATTATGATTTTGTTGTGGATTTTCGAACGAAATGTCAACCGAAAGCGTTATTAAAATTTCCAAATTATTTACGTAATGTTTTTGATAAGCTAAAGCGTTTGGACCGGGATGAACTTGAAATATAAGCGTGTTGAAAGATAGATAGGTTCATGAGTCAAAATAATGACGACAGAGATTTCGTTAAAGTCCATAGTTAGTGTAAAATTACTAATTAAACAGATCTTTGTATTTAAAAGCGTGCTATAATCACCATTTGTTATTTTTACCAATTTCCGTTAAAATGTAAAAATGTCTCTTAAACATTAATGCCTTTGTTGATCACTTTGCGTTTAGAAAATAGTTTCAGTTTTGTACTATGACTTTGATAAGGCCTAAAACAAGAACACTCCCTATTTTAGACAATTGTTGTCGCTTAACATTTATTTACCCTTTTTGTGTTAACCATTTTTATTTTATTCCAAATACATTAATTTACTAATTAAATGCATTTTTAATTGACTGCACCTTACTCTCCTGAAACCGATTGATCTCACGGGTTGGCTGAGGTCAAAGAAATTTAATCGTTCTGGTTGGTGGGCCACCGCTCGCCCAAAATAAATGTAGGTTCAAAAAGTTTTAAAAACTCAATAACCCGCCACAGAGGTTATCTCCAATAAGTCCGGAGTTATTGCCAATAGACCGCTCCGAGTGCCAAAAATCGTCCAAAATTTCCGCAAAAATAAAAAAAATTCAACTTTAAAATTGTTTCATATAACGGTTTTTACGTTTTTTGAGATCTTAAAAACTCAAAAAAGTGCATAAAATGTTATTGGGTCAAGTTTAAAAAAATACTTACAATAAACACGGAGAGCAAATTCGCCGCAAGTTTGACTTTTGGAAAAATGGAGTCTGTATTATCGATTGTGGGATGCTTTGGGGTGCTTCACATACTTGTTTTCTTTATTATAAAATCAATTTCAATGTTTAAAAACAACCAATATCGAAATTTTTTTTATTTCAAATAAAAATAATACATAAGATATCTTAAGTACATAAAATCAGTCAAAACTTTATTGTTCAATCTTTTTGCACTTTTCACGATCGGCATGTTCTGGCCAATCACAAATATTGCTCTGAGTATGGAAAACTGTCCCTGGTCTGCATGCAAATTCCGTGGGTTTCCCATGTACGCATCGATAGTACTACACAATCAAAAATATTAAGATGACACCATGATTACATCATCCACTTACCTTATCACAAAGCTCATGAGGCATAAAGTCCTGTTTACACTCTTTGGGGGCTACAGCCCCATCAACTTCATTTTGCGGATTTGAGACAACTGGTGGTGGTGAAGCCTCAGTCGTACTCACCGTCGTAGTCCTCTGAGTACTCGAAGTTGCCTCATCAGGCACCCATTGCCCCGGTTTTGGGGTTGTTTGTACTGGCTTTGAACCATCAGCAGATGGAGTACTGGGAGGCCGGGCCCATTCAGGCCTAGGAGTTGTCGAAAAGGTAGGTTCTGGGACCGAATACGAGTTCATATTAGCATAAAGAATATTAATAAGAGGGTTTTTGGGACCACAAAGGCCATGGAAGTCGTCCATGTCAATAGCCCAAGTCATCGCACCACCATAACCCTTCGATTTGATCCAATCCATTTTGATTTGAACGCTTTCAGGGTCCTCGTACCCCACCCATTGGTTGCCTTTGTACGCGTAAGGGACTTTACCCTGCTCGTCCCATTTTTTGGTCCAACCGCTCTCCTTGTTCAAAATTTCGGGACAAATCTATGTCAAAAATTGTTAGGGTTGAAACATGAAACTGTTAACTGACCTCGTAGTAAGCAAGAAAACCGGTGGCGTTAGTGTAAGGTCCCGGGTTTCCACCCCCTGCTTCTTTATTTATGTAAGTTCCAGGGTTGTAGTTGGTATTACTGTTACTAAGGGTGAAAGTACGGCCATAGAAGGGTATTCCAACGATTAGTTTTTTAGGGGAGCATCCATAATCAACCCAAAGTTGTAACCCATCGTTCTAAAAAAACACAGTTGTGAAAAATGGGGGTCCAGGGGCCCTAAAAATACATACGACGTTCAATTTTTCGTAAGCCCATTGGTCATGAGGTCTCTTGTACAAGGGACTATGAGAGTCCGCAAATCCGGCCCAGTTTCCTCTCAAATCATATGACATTACATGAATGGCATCCAACAACCTTAAAAAAATAATTAACACAATTGAAATTAATTAATATTCACGTACTCGCATAATTCCGGGACGTGATAACCTTCCTGTAATCGGAATTTGGCAATGGGGACCGCCATTGTGATTTCCCAATTTTTCCCTTCCTTATCAAAAGCCCGTCTCAACTCCTCCACAAAGTAAAAGAATTTATCCTTATCACTGAAACTACCCCCACGGTCAGCCGCCCCGGGGTATTCCCAATCAAGATCAAACCCATCAAACTCGTATTGATTCATGAAAGCTAAATGAACAATGAGTATCACAATTTTTTTTCTACTCACTGATGACGCTCCTGATAAAAGCCCCTCTGCGCGACTTTTCCGCCACCATGGCCGAGTATTTTGAGCCCCCCTCGGCCCAACCCCCGACTGCGACTTGGAATTTCACTTTGGGGTGCGTTTTTTTCAAATTGGTGAAGTTGCGGAAGCCATTTTGGTCAACATCCAGCTATAGAAAAATAAAATTTTATCAATTGTCACAATTTTGGAAACTTGCCTCAGGATCTATGACCAAAACACTCCAATCTGCGTCATTTACACCAATAAAAGAGTACACTATGTGGGTGCATAAGTCAACAGGAAGGTCCTCTTGGGCATATCGCCCAACCCCAGGCCGGTATATAGCCCAATTGCTGAAGTAACAAACAATTCGAGCAGGGCTTGCGGCTAGAAAAATTCTATTAAAAAAGAAAAAAATTTTTTTTGACTTACAATAAGGTTGTAGTAGTGTTATTATTGTTGCTGTAGCTAGAAGTAGCTTCATGTTTTGTGTGTTGGTGGCTGGGACCGAAGCACTTGAATAAATGTTAGTCCCAGCGTTCCTTCAACTTTTATATACGGTTCATCTTGATCGTTTTTTATGTCAACGAACCAAGAGGCAAACCTTTCGAAATCATAAAACTGTTCAATGGTTATTCAAACTGTTTCTTGTCAATTTAGTGATTAATATGCTAGGTATGAGGCGTCCTTCAGGACTATTGTGCTTCCTTGTGACCTCTCTTTGTTTAAACAACTGTGGGGGTTGCATTTTACTGTTAAATTTATTCACCTTGACCGTGAGATCACTGACCCAAGTATTCATCTCTTAAACTGGTTTATATTTATTTCGAAAGAATGGATTAAGGAACGGGATTATTCTATTTAAATGGATAACAGTACTAAAAATCTTTTAGTTGATGGAAAATTTGCTTTATTTAAGAGTTTATTGACTTTAAAAACCAACAATAAATGGTTTGTTTATGTGAGACACGTCTCTTTTGCATGTGGAATGTTGTTATGCATAATTTATGTCATGCTCATCTGTCATTTGTTTTAATCATTTTTTGGTGACAGCTCTATAGTGAAGTCACCACAATATATGGGTTTGGTTTGGTTTTTAAAAATGATACGGGTTTTAAAAACCCCTTCTAAAATCATTTGGACGTTCAATTTCGACAAGTCTAGGACTAAATTTTTTACGGAATAGTTACCCTAAAATATTTATTTTTATTAATGGGACTTTTGGTGTTGGTTTAGAAACCTTCTTTATGGGACAAAATCCAGGTTCCATCCCGATTTGAGTCTGGATATTAAGCCATAAATCCCCGACATATTTATTTAAAGAAGTGCAAGCTTCAGAATCGTTTATCACAAAAGAATTCACTTGTGTTTTATGCTTATCTACTCTTGATGCTTTCATATACATCTGTAAAGTTGTTTTTCCGTTTACTTTTTAATTACTTCGAAGTACTTACTGTAACGGATTTATCTAAATCATCAGGGATTCCTAAAAACCCATCCAAAAGTTGAGTACTTTTATTATACATATGCCCTTTAAGCATAAATTGCATCGTTTGATTATGATACTCGGCACAAGGAACTACGTTCAAAACTTTTATTTGAGCTGGACCTACAATCTAATTTTTTTTTAATGTTAAGTTATTTGTAGATGTGATAAATGTGTAGAAATTACTTACAAAATAGCGGGAAAATGCAAGGCCCAGCAAAATCGAAAATAGCACTATTTTCAGTATCATGATGCGTTTTATCATGATCATCATGTTGTCGCTTCTATTTATTCATATAGATCGTTATCATTAAATTATTTCGATATTAAAATAAAACTGTTTTTAATAGCTTTGAAATCACTACGTATAAAATTACAAACAATACATACAAAAATATTTAATGATATAGTAAATACGGTTAAATTAACACAAAACAGAACTGTTTCTAAAAAGGTATAGCTAGTGGCAAATCCAAAACTTTAAAAAAATTCAAAATCCGACCAAATGACCTACTTGCACTGCTTTAAAATTGAACCAAATAACGTTTTTTACATTTCTATTAGTTCTAAAGACTCAATAATGTCCCCGGATTGGGTTTACAAGAGGAAAAAAAAATATCTTTCATTTTACGCTAAAACTTCAAATTTTGCTTAACCTGAAACGAGCAAATTTGTAATTAAAACTTCGTTATTCTGACTCAGTGGAAAGAAAAGCTCATTTTTCTTTTGATTTTAGACTTGTAATATTTGTCTATATGCTGTTCTTGGTCTTGTATGTAAAATTGCAGAGCACACCTGTACAAACCGTTTTGACCTAGGACTCATAGTTTTTGAGATATATTTTTTTAATAAAACTAAAAATAGCTCTGTACCCAGAGCCATAACCCGGTCTCAATAATATAATACTTTGACCTAGACCTATGTAAAGTGTTCCAGGGAATCGATTGCCGTCAAAAAAACTGCAAAATTCCTAATAGTTTTGAAGTTATAGTCGGATTTATATTTTCCATACTTTTGATTTTATCACAAATTTTCTCGATAACTATTTATCGTAGAACACTGATCTTTTTTTTATATGATAGAAAATTAAATTTGCTTTCCAACGGTACCAAACATAAGAGGTTATTACTAATAAGTCCGGAGTTATTGGCAATAGACCGCTCCGGGTGCCAAAAATCGACCAAAATTTCGACGAAAATTAAAAAAAAAAAAAATTTTAACCTTAAATTTCATCCATACAACGTTTTTTACATTTCTAGAGGTCTTAAAGACTCAAAAAAATGCATAAAACGTTATTGGGTTAAGTTTAAAAAATTACGAATTTTTTGAGTTTTTCAAGGTGAGCGGTAGTAAAATCGTAAAAATAGTCAATTTCCTAAAAGTTGTAAAAACGCTTGAAATATGGTTTTCTAGACGTAAAATTACACGCTGAACACGATGCAACTAGTTAAAATACTCTACGATGCATCATAGTTTTTGAGATATTGAGTAAGAAATTCAAAAATAAGGGTAGAAATATCCTATTTTAACAAAAAAATCAAAAATTTTTAATTCTTATGAAAAACTAGTACTATATGTAAAATTAACCGGAGAATACGCCTGTAACTACTATAAGGGCCCCTTCAGCACACAGCACTTTTTAAGGTAAAACACCCCAATTTTCAAGGGTAAATAAAAAGCAGTGGGCCCCTTCAGCACACAGCACTTTTTAAGGTAAAACACCCCAATTTTCAAGGGTAAATAAAAAGCAGTGGGCCCCTTCAGCACACAGCACTTTTTAAGGTAAAACACCCCAATTTTCAAGGGTCAACAGAAAAGCGCAGCCCCTTCAGCACACAGCTACTTTTTAAGGAAAAACACCCTGATTTTCAAGGGTAAATAGAAAAGCAGAAAAAATTGTGAAAATGTCTCGATTTTCAAGGTTAACAGAAAAGCAGATAAAATCGTGAAAACACCCCCGTTTTTAAAGCATATTAAAAAGCCTTTGGTCCATGGAYCCATTCAYCACAACAGTTAAAATATTAAGAATTCACCCTGATCTTAAAGGTATATAAAAATTCAAATTTTATAATACTGTTTTTTATTTGAAGACTAAATTGTCAGCCAACGTACTTATTAAACAAATTCTTAGATATTATGTTATACAAACTCTTATATTTACCRACACATAGTTAAAAAAAGTTAGCATTCCTTTAGGGGACATTGTCTGCTTTTACAAAAATTTGGCTGATGACTGCATTCCAAGTTCTTCCAGATAAACAGCCATCCTACCTGACCAGTTTGTAAATTTTCATAAAATTCATAGTCTACGATTTCGGCGTTGAATGGTTTGCGTTTGTTTATTTGTGTACGGAGTTGACGAGCCTGTGCTCCTRTTAAAAKTTGGGTTTCTGGATTTCTCGCCGTATACAAAATGRACCATAGACATGGMTTTTTTTTCCTCTTGGTCTGCCGACTCCAGATGCTAATTGGTTGAAACGCACACTCTTGTGGGGTCAAGTCTACAAATAATTGTAATATGGCTTGTGGATTMTCACATTCCCGAGCGCAGGACAAAAAACCATCTATAAATTAACTGTAAATATAAAATATGTATAGCAAATAACATGGATACTTACAATTCTCATTCGCCATTCCAACGAAATTATAATAGAAGAAAGGGTCGACCAGAGAAAGGATTGATTGTTGGAAAACGTTTCTTTGAAGTTAGAATAGGTCTTTCTTTTAATCGACACACAGCTGACAAATGACAGCCCAGTTTAACATTTGACATTGACAGTAATGCAATGCACAAGGCGTTGGAGTACATGCGTACATACAAGTTGACAAAAATTCTTTTAATCACGTTGTTGAGTAGCTAATATAATAATTATACTATACTGTATGATTACCATAATAATATACAATAACAACAATACAATATAAAAATAAAATGTATGTAACCTAAAATGTGACCCGCCAATAATGTTTGTATATTGTGTTGCCTATCTTCAGACGAACTAATTTTTCACTTTCGAAATTCACATCTGCATTATTTATTCAATAGGGAGACTGAACATATTTAATACTAATTTTAGTCAGTGTTAGAGCTATGTATAAGAAACCAATTTATTTAATAAATTCTCCATTTACATTATACAATAAATTATTCATTAGCTAGTAACAATAAAAAAGATTAAAATCCAAACGGTATTGTAAAATTAACCGGAGAATACGCCTGTATAAACCGCTTTGACCTAGGACTCACAACATAACAGGTTATTATCAATAAGTCCGGAGTTATTTATTGGCAATAGACCGGTCCGGGTGCCAAAAATTGACCAAAATTTCGATGAAAATCAAAAAAATTTTTAACCTTATAAAATTCATCCATATAACGTTTTTTACATTTATAGAGGTCTTAAACACTCGAAAAAATGCATAAAACGTTATTGGGTCAAGTTTAAAAAATTACGAATTTTTTGAGTCTTTCAAGGTGAGCGGTAGTAAAATCGTAAAAATAGTCAATTTCCTAAAAGTCGTAAAAACGCTTGAAATATGGTTTTCTAGACGTAAAATTACGCGCTGAACACGATGCAACTAATTTAGAATACTCTACGATGCATAGTTTTTGAGATATTGAGTAATAAAGTCAAAAATAATGGTTGAAATACCCGATTTTGACAAAAAAAAACAATTTTTTTTAATTCTTATGAAAAACTAGTACTATATGTAAAATTAACCGGAGAATACGCCTGTATAAACCGTTTTGACCTAGGACTCATAGTTTTTGAGATATGACGGTTTTTTTTTTAAACCTAAAAATGTCTCTGTACCCGGAACCATAACCCGGAGCGACTTCCGGTTTGCGCCAATAAATAGATAATTTCAAGCTACTTTTAATGGTTTTTACCTTTTTGCTTTAAATCTTATAGTTATATAATCCATAAAAGGTTTTTTTCCATTTCTAGAAGTCTTAAGAACTCAAAATATAGTTTTCTAGACGTAAAATTACGTGTTGGATTATCAAATCAAATAAATGTTAAAAGATAGCGTCCTTTGCAAGCGTTAAAACATGTGCACGTGTTTTTATAAGTATAATGAAAGAGAGAAAGCGCACGAATGCATAAGAGCAAAAAACAGAGCAAAGTATAAGAAAGAGAAAGAACATAATAGCCTTTCTTTTATCACAAACACGATTTTTTTGATTTTTCTAAAATGAATCATTTGTTAATAATTTTTTCTACTTCTACTTTAATTTTTCACAAAAATCGAGATGCTCTAAGTCATATTATTTCTGAGAAAAACGCTTTTAAAGTTATTAAATTAATTTACGTTTTATGCACTCTTTTGAATCTTTGAACACAATCTTTTGTTTCGTGACACTATATAAACATTAATAAATTAAAAATTAATTATTTTACTTATAAGAATTACATAAATAAATTTTTGATAACTCTTTCAATGTTTTAGTACACAATTTGTGCTGAAAATTTAAAAAATCAGATCGGAAAACGTTTTTCATGTAAAATTTTAAAATGCATTAAGAGATTAGAAAAAAATCAATTTTGGTTCATATTTAAGACAAAACTCGTCCTCTTTTGCCCAATTCCCAACAATGCCAATCCTAAGTCTCCAAAAAGCGGCCCCCTTTTTCAAAGGCACTGCAGTGGTTGACGGCCTATTCAAAGAAATAAGTTTAGACGACTACAAAGGTCAATACCTCGTCCTATTTTTCTACCCATTGGACTTGTAAGTACAACAATCACTTTTTTTATTACAATACCAAATAATCAGTACTTTCGTATGCCCCACTGAAATAATCGCCTTCTCGGACCGCGCCCCCGATTTCAAAAAAATCAAAACCGCTGTTATTGGTGTCTCAACCGATAGCCATTTCTGCCACTTAGCTTGGATCAACACTCCTCGAAAACAAGGGGGTTTAGGCCCGATGAACATCCCTCTGTTGGCAGATAAATCCGGGAAAATCGCACGGGATTACATGGTCTTAGACGAGGAAACTGGAGTCCCGTTTCGGGGATTATTCATCATTGACGGGAACGGGATTTTGAGACAAATGACAGTGAATGATCTACCTGTGGGGCGTTCCGTTGATGAGGCACTTCGGCTAGTCCAAGCTTTCAAGTTTACAGATGAGCATGGAGAGGTGTGTCCTGCAGGATGGACCCCCGGGAAAAAGACCATGAAACCGGAAGTGAACGCCAGCAAGGATTTTTTCGGGGAGGTTAATTAAAACAAATATTTATTTATTAAATTTTTTATTAGTACTGATGGATTAAGTGTGACGATTGTAAAAATCACTGACAGGAAGGAATGGTAACTGTAACTGGATTTACAGAAAAATGGAATAAGAGCTTCTTACGTACTACAATACTGAAATTTGTTTTAATTTCAGTTCGGGTCGGCTTACAATTGTCCCCCACTTAATCCAGATTCTGTATTCAATACAATCTTATAAAATTAGAAAGTTGACGTAGTCTAGACTTAATTACGGTTGAATATGTAATATGTTGATTACTAACGTAAAATGGCACTTCACTCCCCAACATAAATAAATAAAAAGAATGTATAAAATATACACAACTTGTAATGGGAATGATCAATTTTGGAAATACGTCGTCTTGTTACTTACAGCCCAAAATAAATTTTATTGCACGTAAACCTTAAAGGCTTGTACTTAGAGTAAGTTATATACATTGGTCTTGAATATTGGAATGCTGGTGTGATCACAGACTAAAATTAAGTATGATATGAGAGTGACAATTTCGTGAAAACCCAATACAAGAAAACCAAAAACCCTGACATTGACTACTGTCGGCGAGAGTCCATATTAGGTGTATAGTCTAAAGCCATCAAACATGCGAATACTGTCATCACCATCTTCGGTTTAACTTCAGCAATATCCTCCGGAAGTGCATACACCCTAGCACCAGCTTTGCGCGACATTGAAATTGCATATTTTGCATTTGCAAGGTTATCCTTAAAAAATAAACAATTATACAGTGCTCTACACCACAGTGTGTCAGAACTCGGCCCCCAGATAGATTTCAAGTAAGATAAGATCCAGGAACATGGAAAAATATTAAAGTTCTATCTGTCAAAAAAATTTGACATTTGACATTTTTTATGTCTACTTGATCTTGTATACGTTTTTTTATAATTATCTAGTAAAGGCACAAAAATTTTGCCAATAAAAGCCACAAATAACATTTAACAGTTACAATTTAAGATACAACTATAGATTGTTTCCATGTTCCTGGTATCTTACTTTACACGGCATTTTTCTCTGGGCGCGAGTCCTGGCGCACCCTGTATTACACTCACTTCTTCAGTTCCACCAGTTTTGACTAAATCGTAGTTAATAGCTCCGGGTTTGATAGCATCGATTAGATCGATGACTACTTTAGCATCGGCTATTGTCGAGTCTTGGAAGCTCCGGATTGAGGAATTTTTCCCTGCAGAATTCAACTTATTATTAACCCACTGTACGATTTCTTTCTCCACGATGGGGTTCCCCGACTCGGCTAATTGCGACAAAACTGTCAAAGTGTAAGCTCGCATCAATTGCCAAATCAGAGCTAACGTCAAAGTCACATTCCCTTCATTAATATCCTGTCCTGCAATCCCCACCAACGAAAACTTAATCTCCCGCCCCAACTCAATAGCGTAGTTACAATTCTCCAACTTCTCCATAAACTTCTTTCGGGGATTTGTAAATTTCCGATGTACCCGATTCCAATTGACAATGTTTGGTTTAATAATATCATACAGTTGGAAGACTACAAGACCGTCAGCAAGGTCGGAATACAGCCAGTTCACGTGGGGGCTCACTCCCATAGAGTTGATCCAGTTACGGTAAGCTGAAAAAAAAAACTATGCAACTCGGGATTTTCCCCAACATTGACTTACTTCGCTCCTCTCGAGTCTCTTCAACCGTTTCGTAACCTTCTAAAACTCCATTGGTTTCGTTCAAACCGGGATGGTTGTTAAACAAATTCGCTACGAAAGCCAAGTTTAGTTTGTAAACGCCGTTTACCACGTCTTGAGGGGTCACAAACGCGCGGCATTTCAGTTTCGCCGCTTGCTGGAGCATCACCTCGGCGCGCTCGTGGAGGTCCCGTTCCTGCGCATCAAAACATCAAAAATGTAGACTGATATCAATATCCATATCAAAAAATCTAAATTCAAAAGCAATATTGTTTCCTGTAATACCGACTCTCGGTCGGTAATCTATGACAGGTTATAAAATTGTGGTGTAGAATGCATTTTATGTTCCAATATATTTACTACAAAAATCAACGTTCATCCGCCTTCTAATTCGGACTTACCCTCATTTAAACACTGTGACTGATCTTTGACATATCAATCTCTGGCCCATTCATTGCCATTAGCACGTATCAAACAAAGATTGATATCAAAAGATGTAACCATGACTGACTTTGATCTATATCAATTTTTGGCCTACTCAGTCATATCAAAGATTGATACATGTCACACCATCAGAAATGTAACCATATCAAAATCTTGGTTGATGCATATCAAAACATGGAAAATGTAACAATGACTGATCTTTGACATATCAATCCCTGGCCTATTCATTGCCATTGGCACATATCAAACAAAGATTGATATCAAAAGCTTACTTGATACATGTCAGAACATCAAAAATGTAACCATATCAAAATCTTGGTTGATGCATATCAAAACATGGAAAATGTAACAATGATTTTTGATATATCAATCTGTGGCCCATCTCATGCCATTGGCAAATATCAAAGATTGATAATGCTTATTAAAGATGTCAAAACCCTTACCATGAGTGCGTTTGTGTTTACATCGGCCTCTAGAGGGGCAATTTGTTTCAACAAGTGGGTGTAGACTTCGGAATCGGTGATATCACTCTGGAAGTTGTTGATACGTCGTGATACTCCAGCCCGTTCGAGGTGGTAATTGACCCATCTTAGTAGAATAGCTTCTGGTGATAGTTTCATGAGGTCTTCAATCTTCTCATCTTCTGATAAGAGTGTTGTGAGACCTGGACAATGCTCGAGAGTGATTTGGTTAAAAAGTCCAATCCTGATAATCTGCCAAAGTAGCCCCAAAACGAGATGTGGTGTCCCTTTTGAAAGGTTATGTGCGTCGATATTGATAACATTGCAACCAATTGCTTGTGCTGATGATAAGGCTAGAGTAAGATTCTCTAATTTGGTGTATAAAGTGAGGTTTTTCTTATTAATTGCTCGTTCGTCTATCGTATCTGGACACGAATGATTGATGATTTTGCTAAAATTAAAAACAAAAACAAGTTAAATGGTTCGATTGATAATCAGTTAATCACCCACCATAGAAGAATCCCACTTTTGACTTTGTCATAGAGTGACTTTCCCTCGGGATCAATCGGGAGTAAATCCTTCAAATCGGGATCGTGTCTCAAATTTGAGTTAATCCAATCGGAGAAAGCCAACTGTTCCTCCACTCGCACCGAATGCGTTGTTCCTTCGTTCGAAGCCTCCGATGTCCCCCCTAAATGTTGCAAATTTTCGCGTTTCGTAACGGCCATTTTGAAAGTACTCGCAACTTCGTTCGCTTTTAAATCGCTACACAACTTCTGGAATTCGTCTAAAGTCATTTTGCCCGGAATTCGGGCTCGGTTCGAATTGTTGAACTCCTCTTCCATCGCTCGGGCTTTAAAGCCCGGGATTTTGAAACCACAGGCATCCAAAGCGTCCCTCAACTCCTTCAAGTCGATGTAGCCATCCCCGTTCTTGTCGATCTATCAACATTGAGAATTATTGCAATGCAAGTGGGTCACGGCAATGGTTTATTACAAGTTCAAACGTATGTAAATAAGTAGGTTGTGATAATTTTTAAGTGGGAAAGGATGCTTTCTAGCCCTAACCACGCCTAGCGACGGTTTTAATCTCCTCAACTTGTGACAATAACAATTATCAAAATTCCCCGGAAATAGTTGGTTTTAATCTTTCTGAATTTTGATATTTAGAACTGTTGAGTCTTAGTCAGGATTTGTTTTGTGTCACGTAATCTTGTGAATTCCGCTAAACTAATTTAGTTTCGTCCACGTATGCACAAAATGTAGAACTTTTCTTACTCCTTGTCACGTTCAGAAAATGTTATTCAAGAACAAGTTCTAGTGTTTCTACTCACTTGTTGAAAAGCTTCCAAAAAATCTTGATCTACGCTTGAAAGGGCCATTTTGTACACAACCTTCAAGTGACAAGAACTTCACAATTCTAGTCAAAATTACTTGAAATTTTCTCGATAAGCTATCACACACAACATAATCTTCGATAATTTTGATGATTATAAAAATCTTTACGAGTCAATATTATTTTTACACAATTGTGTGCTTTGCTTTGAGTTTATGTTACCACAGCGTTATATTACTGCAGATTTTGTAAATTCTAGTCATTTCATAAGCATGAAGAAAATCAATTTTCAGTGTTGCTTGAACAATAGGAAGTTTCATAATGAGTTTCTAATCCCTAAATAGAAAGTCTTTAATTCCCTGATCGACATATGGCATTTAATGACCAGTCGAAAAATATCAACTGATAGGAAATAATCAATGATTTAGGGATGGGTTTATGTTTATTTAAGTGATAGACTTTACAGAAACACGTAATAGTTTGTGTTCTGAGAGGAAATTTAGTTCCGGTGTAATGACTCAAGCAAATATCCAGAGTTTGATTGAAAATTGAAACACACCTAGAATCGATATTAAAATTGGGATCACCGTGACACAAGACCTTCATCTATTCTATTTAAGGAAATCTGCATTTTCGTGTCCTTTAATCGATCCAATGAAACAAAACAATTTCAAATCTGAAGCGAAAGATTGGAGTTAATTAATTAATTGATAAATGAGTGAATTATGCAAAAGAACTAGTTTGTAGACAGAGTAATTAGTTAACCTATTTCATGCTTTGATGGTGTAAAAATAAGACACATGGTCTATTCCAAATTCCTAACTCATCCGATAAGTAAGTATGTAACAACAGATACATATTTATGACTAAACACCCATAAAATTATGGTAAACGTATGACTCATCCAGCCGAGTCAAGTGCTTTTTTTCCGAAATGTGCCAAAGTGGAAAACCAAACAACCCGGAATGTGGGTCACAATTTCGGGAAAACTCACACCGACTATGACTATAGTTTGAAGAAAAATTCTTGAAAAGTTGGGCGTAGCTTAGCCATGTGTCACGACGTTCAACGATGTAAACATGTAAACCGTGTTTTCTGATAGTATCAAATGATAAGGATTGGAAACGGTCTTAACTGATAGAATACACACCTCGTGGAACTTTTCTTTGATTTCCTCCTGTTCTTCAGGGGTCAGTTTGGCAAAATCCGAACACGGAGAAGCCATTTTGTAATGCGCGACAAACCCACCATGCAGAGCCACAAAACCGACTGGAGAAGTGTACAAAGTGGAGAATGGAACAACGCGAATTTTCTACTACTATTACTCAGCGCTGTCAAACCCATTTACATCGATTTTTCAATGGTTCATACGCAATTTTTTCTATTTACCGTTAACGCCATATTGACCTAACTACACAAGTTTAACAAAATACTGATTTTGTTTGTTGTCTTGTTTTTCATTTTTTTACCCTAAAAATTGGAAAATTTATATTTTATTATTTGTTTTAATGAGAATTGTAATCAACCAATTGACTAATCTCCACATTATTGTTGCGGCATTTTACAATAATTGTAAAATTTCGATAAGATTAATTAAAATTGTTGTGCACCTAGCCCCTAATAAGGCTTTCTCATGGCACAATAACGTGGCATAAATTATTATTAATTATATTGTATTCAAATTTATAATTTGATTCACATCATTAATGAAAAAATGCACTTGTATGATGTGTGAACGAATTCTTAAGGTTAACGATGAGAATTGGAATAATTTGAGTTTGCTTCCGTTTTACTCAATTTGAGTGGTTTACTCTTATCAAATGATAAAGAAACGTAAAAGAAACACACTTGACATGCTACAATGACTGTATTTGGTAGGATTTTGAGTACACTTAATCGAATTCAGCTCCAATTGTGATACTTATCTCGCCTGGCAAAATAAAAGTTTGGTGATACCAACGATTTGTATCGACGATGACTAAAAACCACAATAGAAATGAAATGTGAAAATAAAACTCCCTTACTTATTTCACCCGACTCCACAATAACTTGTATTTCTTGACATTTGTAAAGACATTCAGGGGGTGGGGCCAGTCTCCATAATTTTCGCCCTTTTATTTGTGCTTGCCAAGACGGGTATTGCACATTATCGACCTAGAATTGTATTAGAGCAACCCTGTATATAAATACTGGAGTGAGTTACATGCATGTGGGCCCCTTGTCCGGGTCCCCCCATGAAAATCCAATTCAGGGCGATGTTTTCCGACGTGTTGGGCAGAAAATACGGGGTGTTGTAATACTCGCGTAGGATTTTTCCCGCATTATCGTTACAATTGCTCCAGCCTATGTACCAGGGCTTTTGGCCTGGCTCCAAATTAGCCCTTTTGGGGTCCATCTCTAACACTTCTTCCAGAGAAGTGAATTCGGTCTTGTAGGGAAAAAACTGGCAAAAATTCGAGTCAGAATTCGCGTACAAGTTTTTGAAAAAATCAAATGAGAATTTTTGGGACGCCGGCCAAGTGGTCGCACCGTCGGTCACAACGACGGGCTTCGCCGATGTTACAAAATTCGAGTAGAATTCAGAAGGCGAAATGTTTTTGATTTTTGGGACTTCTGTCACGCCCTCGCAAATGTCGCAAGATTCGGGTTCTCGGAACCATTTCGATGAGTCAGATGGCATGTCGATTAAACACTAAAGTGTGTTAAGTGTTAAGTATCGTCTTGAGCAACATTTAACTTACCGAAGACGAGTCAAAAAAATTTATTTGAGTCGTGAGTAGGAGAAGCGGGACAAGGAGAAAAAACGCGGTTTTAGGGAACGGTTTTTTAAAAATTTTATTAGTCACATCGAGTTTGGAATAGTCGTGTTTGGAAAAACCCGAGTACTTTTGGGTAAGGGCCTGGAGGCGCTTTTCGGCTTTCTGCATAACGGCTCGAAATCAACTGGGGATGTTTTCAATCCCGTCCCGAGTTATCAGGAAAAGAGGGACTCAGCCGTCTGAAGTTAATCAACTGTTAAATTGATACCACCTGCGTTTAAATTGATACCCCATTAAATCATTCAACTTTAAATCAGATTAACTCAAATTAATGAAAGGTTTTATCACAATCACGGATATAGATAATGATCAGTTTTATTACAAATGTTGATAATACGCTTGTGTTTCATGTTGAATTTCAATTTAGCGCCATGGCCAATATGGCGACTGTTTTTCTTTGTTATTGGCTGGGTACAAATGTCAAAATATTTGATTTAAAACAAATAAAAAACGACTAAAAGTCACTTAGAGACTCTTTTAGTATTTTGGTGTTGATTTTTGATCTCCGATTGGCTAAAAAGGGTATGTTGCGTTGAGGGTTATTAATTTTTAGGTTGAATTTAAATTTGGCGCATGACCAATATGGCCACTGCTTCTTTTTCATTGGCTGCGTCCAGCCGATATTTACAAGGGATTTCTCTCATAAAATTCAAAATATTTGATTTAAAATAAATAAAAAACGACTGAAACTCAGTCAGGGGCCGTTCAGTACTTTATTATTTATTTTTGATCTCAGTTTGTGTAAAAAGGTATGTGTTGACGCTTATCGATTTTTTAGGTTACGTTTTTGTTGTAGAATGGGGGGCTGTAGGTGTTCCTACCGGAACTGTACGAACACAACTAAGACCCGTGATAACCTCCACTTTTTCCACTATCCGGTGAAGCAAAAGGAGCGGTGTAGACAGTGGATAGAGAACGCTCAGAAGCCCCAATTTTACGACTTGGATGAAGTCCAGTTGCGGAATAAAGTGATATGTGAGACGCATTTTAAAGATTGTTATTTTCCCAACATTCAGAAGAAGAGGCTGCTTCAGGGGGCTGTGCCAACGTTGGATGGTGATTGTGAGCCAAAAAGGACAACACCTGAAAGTGCGTTGAAGATACAAGATGTTCAAGTCCTTCCGGCGAATGCGGACGGTACAATCTTCGTTTTGGAAACTAACATGCAAAATAATTTTCAATCAGAAAAAGTCCAATCTTATATCTATACAAATAACGGGCTTATGGTCCCCATAACTAAATTGACTGATACTGTGGATGACAACATTCAGAATATTTTCCCAGATAGTGACACTGAAGAGGTGGAGGAACCCCCTCAACCCCAAGTGAAACTCAAACCAGAGGCGGAGATTTTCACGGAAACTCAAACAGTTGAGGAAAAAGAATTCGAGACTTTTGTTTTTGAGAATAGCCAAGGCGGACCAGACGTTGAAATGGTCATACCCGAACAGACAAAAGTTGTAAAAAAAGTGGCGAAAACCACAATGACTGATGATATTTTTTCGAAAACGGTTGGTAGTAAATATGTTCAAAAAATCAACCAACATAGTAGAGACATCGCAATTTTGAAACGACTCCTAAAAGCCAAAAGGCCGTCGAAAAGGCCCTCAAATTCGGTCATTTTAAACTGTCTAAAAAGTCAACTCGCCCCAAGTCTTTTCAGTGTAGTTAACGTAAATTTAAGTGAACAGTGTGAATTCACCCCTGAGGATTTAGAATTTTTTTCGACGATTCACTCAACGTCGCCACAAGTCTACGAAATCCTAGGCCAAAAGTACAAGTGGAAATTACCAAATCCCGAGATTTTGAACAATATTCCTGCTAAAAACAACGGACTTGTGTATTGTGAGGACAATTGAAACGTAATTTAATGTGAAGTATAATTTGTAATTTAGATGTAACAAGCATGAGTTTTTAACAAACTTGTTTTAATTCTTCACGGAGAATTTGTAAGCCACGTTGTGGTAATAAGTCTCGCCGGGCACCAAAATCGACTTAGGGAAATTATCCTGAAACGAAGATTTAAAACTCGGAAAAAAAGTCGAAAAAAATTACGTGATTCGGAGCATCGGGCCAATTTTGCGTCTCCAAACACAAAGCCCCGTGTTTGTAATAGGAAGCGCCTTTACCGACCAAACTCGCCAACTTGCTTTTATCCCCCTTGCAAGTTTTGGGGTTTTCGGGGAAGAAGTTTGAGGTGTAAAACTGTACTCCGGGTTGGTTGCTATACACTTCAAGCATCCTGCCACTGTCAGGGTGGTAAACTCTGCAAAAAAAAATATCACAAATCGAAAAACCCTTGGAGTTTCACCTTGCGATAAATGTGGTTCCTTGCTCGGGGCCTTTGTTGACGCAAAAGTTGTGGTCAAAGCCGTCGCTTTTGGGGACTTTGGTGATGACATCGCCGAGGACTTTGGGGACTTGCAAGTCGAAGACGGTGTTGGCCACCGGTAGTAATTTTCCTGGAAAGTTTGTTAGGGTTTTATGACGGGGGTTTCGGGGCACCTCACCTGTGGGAATGCTGTCGGCGTCGACTTCGGTGATTTGGTCGGCGTTTATGCAAACGACGTGTTTGTAAAGTTCACTAGCGCCAGCGTCATGACCGGCCAAGTTGAAGTACGAATGGTTTGTCATGTTGACATAAGTTGGTTTAGTTGTGGTCGCTTTGTACTCCACCAAAAATTCATTGTTTTCGGTTAGCTCAAAAGTGGCATGGACTACGACATCCCCAGGGAAGCCCTCTTCAAGATCAGCGGAGTGGTAACTCATTGTTACCTTATTACCACTGACGTAGTACTCCCAAATGACCTAGTAACAAATTAAAAAAAACATAGTTTTCTCTGCAAAAATACTTTATCAAATCCTTTGAAACCGCCATGTAGGTGGTGGGCGCCCCGATTGGTTGATAAGGAATAAGAGTTGTTATTAATTTCGACTTTTCCAAATTTGATACGATTAGCGAATCTCCCAACAGTTGCGCCGAAATACCGATTGAGAGGATTTTGGTACCCTAGAACCACAATCAAGAAATCTCCCCCAAATTTCAATTTTACCTTCCAGGTTGTGAAACCCGGTCACAATATCGGCCCAAAAGCCCCTTTTGTCTGGAATTTGAATTGACGTGATTGTGGCCCCATAAGTAATGACTTGCACGGAGACATTGGAATTGCTCCATGAAAAGGCTTTGACCAATTTCAGTCCAAGGTGACCGAAATCGCTCTCTTTAAACGCAACACTTGACATTTTCACAACCTCTTATCAGTCCAGTCTTATCACTTACTTTATCAAATCCGACAAATCCGCCGTGCAATTGGTGCTTGCCGAGGTTTTTGCTCACGTTGATTATTTGGTCAAAGAGCTTGAATTGGCCGTTTCCGATCCTGTTGGCAACGCGCCCCACAGTAGCCCCAAAATAGACTTCGGCTTTTTGGTACTCTTTAATTGTGCTACCGCCTCCTACGACATCCTTGATAGCCCCGTTTTTGTCCGGGATTTTCATAGAAGTTATAGTCGCCCCATAAGTAATAACTTGCACGGAAACGTTGCTTTGGTTTGTCCAAGTAAAACTACGGACTGAAATGGACTTTCCGGTGTTCTTGTAAGTGTACAAGTCGAACTGGTCTTCTGTTAGTTTAACCATTTTGGTTGGATTTACGAAGTGAACTAATGCGAGCTGGAAGGAATTTAGTTATTTATTGATTTAGTGATAATTGTTATCAATTTGTTTTGTACACACCGATTATAATGACCACAAACCACAAAATAAAACTAAGAAAACTAACCGCTTGTTTTGCTTTTTTGATAATTTTCAAAATCAAAAACAATCCCTAAAGGGCTACCAACCTAACACGACATATCCCCATTAGAGAATTTATTTATTGATTTAACACACTGGGGTGATAACTAATAATTGAATTGTTATCACTTTGTTTTGTGCACACTGATTGTAATGACCACAAAACAATAAAAAGTAGCACTTGTTTTGCTTTGATAATTTTCAAAATCAAAAAAAGGGCTGCCAACCTGACATTACATAACCCCATTAATTAACCTTTATCCACAAATCTACGAAATCTAAAAAAAAAACAAATTATGCGATAAGTACAACAATGTAGTTGTTGACCTTGTCATTTATACCAACTAATGTTTTATATCGTGATGATTCGATGACAGACCAAAGAGAATCAAGTCCAATAATGGTCCATTAATGTGGTTCTCTAACAAGTTAAGTTCCTAATTGATTTAATTAGCCTTATAAAGTCGTAATCTATGGCCACATTATCTAAATTACGATTTTAATCCTCGAAAATAGCAATTTTATTCGTCAACATGCCATCAAAAAAAGCGCCAAATTTGAATTGGTATCAACGTTTCACTTACACCGTTGTCAATTTCACGGAATATATATTTTACAAGTAAGTACAATATTTAACAACACGAAAAGTATCTGTTTTTTTTTAGTTTGGGTCGTAAAGTGGGTCATAGTCCGAAAAAAACAATTTTATTTTGCTGGATTTTTGTATTGTTGAGTTCGTTGGGTTTTCTGCGTTTCCATCAAGAAAAAAATCCCATGAAATTATGGGTCCCACGAAACTCGAAATTTGTTAAAGACACGGAGTGGTTAATGGAGAAATTTCAACTAGGGTATAGACCACAAGTCGTACAAATTGTTGCAAACGACGTACTTACTCCCGAAATCCTGCAACAAGTAAATTTTCATTTCATTTTTCACCCTTAATAATTTAACACAGCTTTTAGAACTTGACTTCAAAATAGACAATACTATAACTGCGAAAAATGTCACATGGAGTGATGTTTGTTTCACGTAATTACCGGTATTACTGCTGTATTTTATTATTACATTTAATTATTTTAGGATCCCTAAAGTCAATAAAGAATTACTACGTTTAATGGAAGGAGATAAAAAATCAAACGTAACTGAAAAAGATCCAAGTGTCACGATGAATGCAGCTCTCTATTGCAGTTTTATAGAAATTATGGAAAATGAGTGTTTCAAAAAAAGTATCCTAGAATTGTGGGACTACAACCCCACTGTTATCAACCAACTCACTAAAACCGACATTTTGAACACTATTAATGATTATGACGAAAAGTATTTTTTTCTCGCCTACGACTAAAAAAAATTAAATAATTATTCTAGTGCCATTATGGGACGTTTCAAAAACTATAAAGAATTACTCGGTGGTGTTATTTATAATGAAACAGGTCACATAGTCGCAGCCAAATCTTTACAAAATTTTTGGATGGTCTCTGTCAATTTTACAACAGTCGATATGGACAAAACTGGAAATAATGCGGGAACTGCTGATTGGGTTACTTGTGACATTTACTCAATTTTTAAACTAATCATTTTTTGTAGGCGTCTGAGGATGCTCTTGAGTGGGAATCCGAATTTTTGAAAACAATACAAAACTTCAAATACGAAAACAATTTGACTTTTTTCTACACAGCTTCGCGAAGGTAAAAACTCGAAATGGAGAGTCCAAAATACTTAAAAAACTTTCAGTTTTGGTGATATAAGCAATGCGACGATGTTCCAAGACATTGGTATCCTCTGCATAGGTATTTTTATAATGGTGATTTACGTACAATTTGTGATATCTAAATTTAATTGGTTGGAAGCAAGAGTACGTGCAACCCCCCCAAAATGCAGTGTTTCAAATTCAGTTTTAGGTGACTTTGGGTTGCATTGGTCTCCTAACTGTGGGTATGGCGTTTATAGTAGGTTGCGGTTTATGTTCCCTTATTGGTGTTTCCTACGGCCCTGTTCACACTTCTCTTCCTTTCCTTTTGATGGGTCTAGGGATCGACGACATGTTTGTGATAATGGCATGTTGGGAGGAGTTGACTAAAGAACAGAAAAAACTCCCAGTCCCTGAACGCATCGGTCTAATGTTGAAACATGCGGGAGTTTCAATTACAGTTACCTCAGTTACCGACATTCTTGCCTTTATTATCGGAGCCTCTACTGTAAGTTAGAAGTGGCGAAAGCCCGACTTTAATGATGAATATTTCAAGATTTTGCCAAGTCTTGAGTCTTACTGTATTTATGCAGCGTTTTGTGTCTTCATGACGTTTATTTTTGCTGTTACTTTTTTCACGGCGTGTTTTGTACTTGACCAGGAGAGAATTGAAAAGAAGCACAACGGGATTATAGTGTGTCTAAAACATGAAAATTATGAAGTGAATGAGTGTAGTCAGAGGCAAATTTCAAATAAAGTCTTTCAGTATGTGTACAGTAAAGCCGTATTGACGCCAACAGGAAAAGTAGAGTTGCATAGTTTATTTTCTACCACTGATTGATATTTCCAGACTGTTGTCATCCTAATTACTGTGATATGTCTAGGGTTTAGTTTAGAAAGTATTAGGAGATTGGAACAGAAGTTTGACCCGACTTGGTTTATCCCTAAGTCGACATATTTCGCCGATTATTTGACAGCACGCAAGACTTATTTCCCCACAAGTGGGTTCGAAGCTGGGATTTACATGGGTGCAGTTAACTATAGCACCGAATTGTTTAATATCAAAAAAATGGTTGATGAGTTGTCGAACAACAGTGATATTGCCTTGGGTGTGATTTCGTGGGTTGACCCATTTCGAAACTTTGTCAAAGATAACTTCCACACAGGTGAACACCTCCTCACAACCCCCCAAAAACATCAACAACTAACGTTTCAGATATCTACGAAGAAGTTTTAAGCGATACTTATTTTAGTCTTTACTTATCAATGTTTTTGTTTAGTGCTAGAAATGCGGTTTATCAAGCCAACTTCCGGTTTGAACGCCCCCTGGAATGTGGGGTTGGGGCTCCGAACATAATTGTAAGAAACTGTCTTATTGTCACAAAACGTATCAAGAAAATTGTAGATGTCAAGCATCGAGTTCCATTTTAATCAGTTTAGGGGCCCCGAGGAGTACCTCCCTGCCATGCATGCAGTACAAGACATAGCAGCAAGAAGTAATTTCTCAACAGGGGATAAATTTATTACGGTTTGGTCTAAAGTTTTTGCAACGTGGATCACAGACGAAGTAATTAACAACAGTCTCTGGTTTTAAACGACTCTAAAATAATCATTTCAGTTGATAGAAACCGAAGTTGTGAGGAATCTCCAACTGGCGTTGCTTTGTGTCATGATTTGCACCGCGTTGTTAATAGCCGATCTCCAAGCTTGTTTTTGGATTTTTATTTGCGTTCTATTGACTATGGTGAATGTTTGTGGGTTTATGCAACGTTGGGGGCTCACTATTGACTTAGTTTCCTGCATCGGTTTAGAGTTGGCGATTGGGTTGTGTGTTGATTATGCGACTCACATTGGACACACTTTTTTGACAATTAAGGAAGGGACTAGAAGGGAGAGGTCGCTCAAAACTGTGACTAGTATTGGGTCTGCTGTGGTTTATGGCGGTATTTCGACTCTGATTGGGGTTTTTATGTTGAGTCAGTCTGAGGCGTACACTTTCCAATCGTTTTTTAAGGTATTAATTGGGGGTTATTAATTGGTTTTAAAGTGCAAGTTTCAGATTTTTTTCCTGGTGATAGTATTCGGTTTGTTTCATGGTGTTGTCTTGTTACCGGTTATATTAAGTTGGGTTGGTCCAAAACCGTATAATGTTGGTACAATTGTGAGTGAGACAGAAATGATTTGATTGTATTTTGGTGAGGTAATAAAGAATAAAACATTGAGTGATATTTTACTATTTAAGTATTTGAAATAACTCCATTCAGTCTTTTATAATGACATATAGTATTACATAACCATTCATATTATTGCAAATGCAATCGAGTATACACACAGTACTATGAATACATCGTGCACACACACTTAGTATATACAAAAATTTTTCTACGCAAATTGTCCAGAAGCATTGGTTTGGTAAAACTTATGTTAGAATTTAAAAAAGTAAAAATATATAAAATAGATGTATGTAAATAATAAAACTCGCACTGCTGCACTGGACGTGATATGCGCAGTTGTCCATAAGCTAAGTTGAGGATTCATTGCTTTTTATTTTTTCCCAATAATTAGTTAAAGGACGGTTACAATTCGTATGATAAACAATGTAAATTGAAATAAAACAACGTTAAAAATATGCAAGTTTTAGATCCCCACACTTATTTATAGACAAGTTTAAGTTTAGTAAATAATAGTTTACAGCCTGAAACATTTCCATTTGGATGTAATTTACAATAAAACGATGTGAGAACGAAGGAACGAAGGTGAACGAATTATCGCAGCAACACTGTCACTAGAGCCCTTCCTTCATGGGGGCCATGGTACTGCTGTCTGCTTTAACGTAAACGTACACAGCCTTATTACACATACACAAATCACACTGACACAACCCGTGCACAGTATGTATAGGTTGAGACATCGATGATTGAAAAGTCGCAAATAAACACTACACCCTGCTGCTTCCTTCAATGCGGAAGACAATCGTCTTGATTGCATTCAACTAAATATAAAAATATTAAACTGTACAGAGATAATAAGGTACATTCATCATACAGTTATCAAAAAAGCATAGTTGATATTCACGCAAATATCGATATATGGACTACTGCTGAGTTTCAGCACAGCAAAGCATAAACATAATAACGTTATCATAAAAATATACACTTATTTATGGAGACAGTACACCACTCAATCCTACCAGAGGCACTTGAAGTCACTGAGTGCGCACCGACCCCGACACAGAACGACTATTATAACTGCATGACAGCAATCCAACAACACAGAGAGAAAGTTTCGATGGATATGTATTTATGGCCGCCACGGTCTATCAGCAGGCCAATTCCTGAGGTGCTGAGGGCTGCAGAGGGACCACAGGAGATATCGGAGGCGCCGACGGACGCATCAGATCAGGCCAGTATCACGGTTGTCCCTGATCGGACATTATATTATGAACCTGTTCTAATTTATAATGCAACCGTTGCTTCTGAGAGAATTCGTCCTCTTCCAAAGTCACAGTTAGCTGCTCGTTGTATTTCATCGCGTACGTATAAAGCTCATGTAATGCACAATTCGTGTTAAACTCAGTTGTATGAAGCTAAAACAAACATTTAAACACAGCTATAACTCAAACCAAACCTACCCTTGACTCTTCTGCCAACATTGCGTTCATATCTTGGTCAGAAATCGCCGACATCATCTTAATATCGGAGTAATACCTCTCCACCCACTCTTTATAACATGGAATGTCCTTGGCGTACAATAGTTTCGAACTTGGGGAGTCTTTACCTGAATTAAACAAATTAATCAGTGAATTAATTATTATACTTTAGAAAACATTCATAATCATTCATTTCGTTATTCGATATATTTCATTAATTCAATATTCATTTCTCGAATGATCCAATAAACTAGGGAATAATCGAAGTCGATAGTGATTATTTTGTTATATTGGTATTTCAAGTGACATTTGACAGCAAGAAAGAGATTAGAAGTTTATTGACCATCATTACAATGGGTCATTCTTTTTTGTTCAATCTTTGTATTTCATTTATTCAAATATATGAAACTCAAAAATTTGGCTATCAATTATTTCGTGATGGTGCGCATGCGCACTGGACGATTATTTCGATTATTGAAATATATCAGTTATGCTCAACACTAAAATTAATCACCTCAAAGATGCTTACCTAACCTATGATCGGATGTGGAACACGAGTCCATGAAAGTTTGAGCAACTACAGATAAACACGAATCCACGATATTTGACTTGTGTATGTCGAATACAAAATTCGGATTTTTAATAATATTGACCCAAAACCTGAGCGGTAAGGAATTACTCTTCCATGTGTGTACGACTTCAGGATCAGAAATGCCATGTTGCAATGCCTGATCGTCGAGAAAATCAAACATATATTTGATGGCAAGTGGTAACGCTGAGCCTCTATGTGCCGTACTAAATATCGTCTCGAATAAATCATCGACGAATTTTTGCAACGTCCCTTTTGTCGCCAAAAGTCGTGTGAGGTAAATCTCCGAGACCATTTTATTCCCTCTCTCACCCTCCTTTTGGTTATCATTGTCGTGGTGTTTGACCAAATGCCATACTTTGTAGCCTTGGTCTTGATCGTGGTTAAGTGGGCTTGTGGCACGACTTAATGGCGGACTTGCTGAACTGAATTTACTTAGATTTAGTGTTTCATATTTGTGGGATTTCTCATTCTTCTCAGAGAAAATACTTAAATTATAAATGGAACTTTGTTTTGACACTAGATTAAGACACCCGCCATCGGGGACTCGATAGTGGTTGAGAGTGTTTCTCCGCTTCCACTCACCCTCAACTTTGTTCGTCGTGTCTTCGTCGTATAAAATAAGACGGCCGGAGGTCCCCGTACGCCATTCTAAATCTAAATCGTCTTTTCTAGGTCTTTGCGAGTATGGGGTTGCTCTATAAATTGTATCGAGAGATTTCTCCTTCACTTGACTTATTGTATCACAGTCCAAAACCTTCACAGGGACATTCTCAGTGTTGTGGTCGAGACCACCAATAAAAACAGTTTGTTGAGAAATAGAAACATATACAGTCTAGAAAAAAAACGTCACGTTAAAAAAATTAAATAAATTCGAGTGGGCGGTGATTATAATCCTTCAGATGGCAACCCTGATTTTTGACATCCAATGACAAGTTTGCATTTTATTCATTTTGAGTGGAACAGAAAAATTGTACAGATTTATCAACAAGAAAATACCACCTAGGATTTGGACTTTGGAAAATTACGTTTTTAATGTTGTTTGTAACTAGAATTTTCAGAAGTAATTTTGAATGCCTATGGTTGGTAACCCCTTGTTATTGACGGTTGACGTTTTCTGTCAACCTGCCCTCAACTTTCAATTAAATTATCCATACAAGCTGACAGGTGACTTAACCTAAATTTTGACACTAGTGACGATATGTTTTGTTTGTCACCAGAAACCAACCTAACCAAATTTAAGATAACCTATTCACGAATATCCCTAGTAATTTCTTGTTGATACGACAATATTGTTGCAAGTTATTACAAAAATGCTGAACAAGCAAAAGTTGTTGCCAACTGTAGAATATTAATCGTCGCCTACTCTAATTATTTTTTTTTTTGATCATGATTTTGGCTCACCATAGGCTTAAAATCTATTGATTGTCTAATGAGTTTCTCCTCGCTGAGTGAGTATCTTGCTTCAGAAGTGATAGCATCGACGGGCCCCTTATCCACTTGCTGTTTCACGGCTCTGAACAACATGAATAGTGGCTCCCCGGCACACTCACGCAAAAACTTGTACAACAGGAATGTAAACCACGCACTTAGCATTTTCTCAGCAACACTTTCCGTACGTCTTAGAAGCAATTTCGGGTGGCTTTTCCCTTCCATGCACTTTTCGATAAGTTCGGCAAGAAGTGTTTTCAAAATGTCGGTGCAATACTCCATCTTGCTTTGAAGCGTCACCATGATTAGTGACGCTACATTCACTTTATCCCTCATCGAAAAATATCTATTACTTTCTAAAGTACGGATAAAAAGCAAGAGGAAGGTTTTGTTCATAATTAACTGCCCGAAACATCTCAAACCTTTCTCTTTTCGGATGAGTTCGGGTCGTTCCCATTGCAAGACAGCGTGGTCGTCCACATTCGGGAAGAGGATTTTCATAGCGTAAGTCCGGTAGTCCAAAAATGGAATACCACCAGAGGTCAAGTCACCGGTCAAGTCAGTCATTTCAGTCTGCAATTCAGCGAAGGCTTCTTTACACTCAGCGGCGACTCGTAACTCGAGAATGTCCATCTGTTCTTGCATGTTTTTAAGAACTCGGTTACTTTCGGTTGATTTTCGACGATAAGCGATTAAAAAGCCGATGAATATTACAATAATTACAACGACGATTGCAATTGCTACAATCAACGTGGGTTTTGAAATAGGACCGTTGAGACCTTGAGCGGGTGAGTATGACAAATGACCGATGTTAAAACGTAAGGTGCCACCCACTATTACTGTAACCTCTGGTAAGGCTTCACCATTGGGTTGGCCTTCGTTGTTTAAAGCCGGAGGTTGGGTTTCAGGTGGGCGACATGTTAGTTGTTGTCGGGATAGAGAAGTTACGTTACAAAAACTGTTACCAATTCGGACTTCTACATCCGATTCTTGACACGCCCGGTCGATATTTTGGCCCTAAATTATCAAACTGTGTCAATTATTATTTCACTAGAAGACTTACATTGATATTGAGATATTCCGACTTGTAGTATTTCACTTCTTTATCGAAGGGAATAAAAACGGGATTTGGGAAAAGTAAGAAAGGTGAGAAGTCTTTATTCAGGGTGAGATTTTGTACTCCTGAAACATTGTCCATCCTAAATCCATATTCTAATTTCAGGGGATTATCCGCGTCTAGTTTTGATTCATCTGCTTCTATTACTGGACTACTACATGTCATGCTGGTGTTACTTTGTACTGTACATTCCTGTAAAAATCCCGTCATAGGAAATCCCCCACTGTTTCATTACCAACTTACACTAACAAACATTTTCTGTTCGTAGTAAACATACATTTGTGGTTTTTGTATGTATGCGAGATTTTTCCCGGTAACTGAAATCTTAATGCCTCCAGCTGGTATACCTTTAGGAACCTTAATCTGACTAGCAACTCCCGATTCCGCCGATTCTATAATCGGATCTTCTACATATTCGAAATATTCTTTCTCGAAA